GTCCTCAAGGAACCGGGCGGCGTTGAACGCCGTGGCGGTATCGACGACGTGGAGGACCGGTCTGTTACCCTCAAGGTACATCACGTCGGCGATAACCTCGTAGTTGAATTCGTAATCGTCTCGTAACGTGAATTTGAACCGTGATGGCGCTGGTGCGTGCATTTGGCATCGATGGCAGACTTTCGATAGTTGCTCAATTGCCGTAATTTCAACTGGGTGGCCGGCCCTCTGGAGCACCTTGTGTAATCGTTGAACAGATGGGTGTCCGAAGCGACGGTGAACCCGTCGCAATTCAGCGTCTGTGAGGTGGTTCCAGGCGAGTGGTTTCTCCTTATCGAGTAATAACCATGGGTGGCCCCATTTGCGAATAATAGGTACGACCTTATTTCCTTGGATGAGGGTATTCGTAACGTTGTTAAAGTAGACCTTCAATCGGTCCATATCTCCTAGGCACATAAGGAAGGGAGTGTTAGTCTCAATAACGTGAAATTTGACGCTTCCAAACGGCGTTGGCACTTTGGTAGTCCCTATAGACTCCAGTGGTATCCCATCGCCGAATTTCACTGTAACGCCGCCAGCCGCCTCAGTGTTTAACGTAATTCCTTCGTAAATTTGTTGTAGGGCCACGAATTGTGGGTGGCCAGCGGTTGAGAATCCTGCTGCGCCCGAGTCGGGCATGATCCCTTGGAAGTTCTGGGCAGAGTAGCGTCCCTCGAGTGTGAATTGCGAAGGTAGCTCTTTCGGTTCTGGTTGGTTGCGGAAGAGGTCTTCTTTCGTAATAGCATGGCGGGTTGACTGGTCTGCTAGGATCGTGGCGATCCTGTTGCCGTCAATTGCTGTTGTAGTGAAATAGGCGGTGACCTGGAATTGACTGTCGCTGCCGGTCTCTTCCTCTTCGTCACTTTCACTGGTTTGTTCGGTTACGTGGTAGTATTGCTGGGGGTCTTCGGCGGTAGGTTGTAGGTCTAACCCGTCGAAACCCTCGTATTGGACGAGAAATTGGCCATATGCTGGAAGTGACGTATCCTGGGCATATTGGGTGGTTTTGAACTTCTCGTACGCTTTTCGTCTCTCTTCTGTGGTGTGTTTGGTTGACCAGCAGTTAGGTTTTCCACACACGTAGCACTTCTTAGGCGTTGGCGGTAATAGGGGTCTGTCACGGCTTCTTCCTCGTGATGATCGACTTCGTGATGAACGACTGTATCGTGAATAACGCCCTCGACCGTTGAAAGTTCTGTCGGTCCAGTACTGCTCTGGTGGGTTGGCTACTGTGTTGAATTGTTGTTGGTTGAGACGGGTAGCTGTCTCGATCGACGAGATTAATTGGCTGCGAAGTCCCTCGTACGTCTCAGCCGGTACAAATAACGCCATTGCACACTCTGGAATATCTCTACAAGCGTGTAGAAGTTGGGTATGGAGGGATCGGTCGTTGTGATCCTGTTGTGGCAAACCGGGCTGAATCTTGCTTAATTTGTCACATAGTATGTCAAAACACTCCGATTTGGTCTTTCCAGGGTTATCGCGAATGATTTGGGGAAGAGTAGTTGTATTCCACTGCGTAACGTACGCTTGTTGCCTTTCCCTAGTCTCGAAGTGTGATTTCAATTGGTTGATCATGGTCTCGAAGTTGGGCTGTGGGTTGATCACTTTAATCGAGGCGTAGAAGTAGGTTTTGGCTATTCCTTTCAGTATTAGGGGAAGTGCCCTGTTGTATTGGGAGGTGTGAATTCCCAGCATTCTACAGTGATCCACGAATACTGGCATCTTCTTTTCGAGTACATCGTACATATCGCCGCTGTATTTCATATCGTCGGGGTACAGTTTCGCGAATTCTGTTAATTGCTTTCCGATACGGTCTGTTGACTCGTATGGTTGGAAGTCTGTTAACGGAGAGACCGTGGGATGTGGCGGTCGGTACGGTAGTTGCCACTGTTGTTGTTCTTGTGGAGGAGGTGGCTGTAGGGTTGGTTCGACTCTTCCTCCTGTGCTGTTGGCTACTGTTGCCGGTCTCGTGATCTCTTCGTGGAATTCGGGGTCTTTTATCAGAGCCTTCAGGTTGCGATATCTCTTGACGCCTTGTTCGAGTTCTTGGGGTGACCAGTAGTGGAATTCTTCCTTTTTGAGGGCTAATGCCACGTTTTTCGAGATTTTCTTGCCATCCATTTCGACGTAGACGCCGTTACCGATTAAATAGTCTCTGAAGAATCGTAGGATTGGGGGAGGTACGTTCTGGAAGTCTTCTTCTGACCAGTCGGCGAAATCGGGAGAAACTTCGTTCCATAGCTCGAGGCCCGTGAGATTCCTCTTCTCATAGGTCTCAAGTAGGAAACCCATATAGGAACCCAGTTGCTGTGGGCTAGCGTTTGTAAGGTCGATTGCCCAGTTGCCCCATACTGCTGGATCGATCATACTTTCGATTCTCTGTGGGATGGGGACTGTTGATTGGCTTTTGGCAGTGACGCCGCTCGCGGGCGATCCTTCTCGTGAATTTCGCTCCATTCTGACAGTATAAAAGGATTACTTCGTAGATTCTCTCGTGAATCTCTCTTTCTCGCTTCGGGCTTCGCTCCTCACTGTTGGGAAGTTTAGAATCTAGCGGACAGTTGGCCTTATGACGCCCACAACCACGTGCGTTTCTCCTAAGCCGCAGCCTCGGAGGCGTATACGTATAGCTGTATAGGCGGATTACCGCCGGTAGTCTCCGCTCGCCTTTCGGCGTGTTCTTCTTCTAGTGGGGAGGTCTCTTGTGGCAGGCGCCTCGCGGTTGGCACCTCGTCTGGGGATTTATTGAGAAACTAGCGGGCGCCTCGTGATTGGCACCGCGCGTGGGGGATAGTTGTAGTTGGGGAAGTTGTTATCCCTTGTGGGATTCGTGAATCTTCGCCCTTGTGGCGTGAAGAGGTTGGAAGACCGTCGATTCGGTAGGTCTCTTCTTCTGGTGATTGAAAACGCGTGATGGAACGCTCTTGCCAGCGATAATTGGCTGCGATTAACCTTATCCCGCCCAGGGTGAGCGTAGCAGTCCCTAGGTTACTCGAATAATCGGATTGCTGGTAGATTCGAGGAAAAGAAGCTTTCTTCTGCTGGTTTCCGTAGATCCCAGTTACTCTCGCTTCTTCTCTCGTTAGCACGAAATCCCTACTTTTACCTGGGCTTGGGTATCCAGTTCAAGAAGTCGTCTCTTCTGGTGTTGACCTTGCTGATCTGCGGTTTGTCCGTAGCAGAGTGGTAATTGTGAAGTTAACCAAATTAATGGCAACTGTGAGGTTTACCACTGATCAGTGTAGGTTTCACAGGGGGTGAAACAGGGGGTGAAACGGAATTCCGTTCGTCAATAACAAATAACAGTAAATTGGTTCTAATCGATGGTTCATGATGATAGTTGAAAGTGGTGTTGTTGACTAGAAGGTGGGGATATTCCCCCTTGGCCTGTCACGTGGGTCTGGGAGGCTTGGGCCTCTCAGCCTGGCGGGCGTGTGGCTGGAAGTGCCACACGGCTCCGTATTCCAACTATCGCAACAGGCATACATCGTAGCAGATGTGTAAGTCAATGACTCAAATGAATGAACAGACTTTGAGAGTAAATAATACGAGCACTCGGCGATCATAGATGATCAGAGCATTTCCCAGAAAAGCCATACAAGACATGAAAGAGGTCACTTAAAATAACACTAGGGAATGTGTTTACGTTTACAACCCAGGCACGTTGTAAGCACTTGAAGATCCGCCGGATCCCGTTGGGTTGGCCATGTCAGACGGTACAGACGAAAGAGAGACTGATTTACAACTTCCCTAGATACAATGCCTCAATCTCGTGTCCGTGAGCAGTTGCAGGTCACCAGAGGTAAAATGTTACCTGACAGATCCCATAGGATCCAAAGCTTACATCCTAGTGCGGGCACGTTACGTCGCCTCTATCCCTTAAAACCACTATGAGCCCTCTTGCCGATCGCAACGGCTTGGTATACTTCGTGATGTTTTTATGGGGCCATGCACTGCAACCAAGGGATAATACAGCATACATAGTACGTCTACGTCCGTAGATCATGAGACTAGTGTAGGGAAGTGCTGATTCCCCCAACTGTACTTGCTCCACCAATTCGGCTGGCGTTAGTCGGGCAACAGCTAGCGAAAGACATGGACTCGGGCAAGCCGGTTTCTAAACATAGCAGTTCAGAAAACGCTACGAAGCAACAATCGCGCTGCAGGTAGATCAGCGGAGGTGAGGCGGGAGGGGAGGACGATGAGGCCTCGGGGAAATCGGGTCCCCGGATGAAGATTAGTGCGGGGAGGTTATTCCTTGTTGCGGTTAATTGGCCCCGGCAGTTCGCTCTCGTATTAATCTCGGGGTCTCATCACAGTACGTCATATGCCTGTGGTTGATGTCCACTGGCCCCAGAAATCGGAGTACATGCGACTCTGAATACGAGAATCAACCTTAGGTGTGTTCCCCAGTCTTCTCAGCCACTATTAAATAAACCGGATATTTGCAAAAAACTACCTCAACCAGTCCAAGCAGATATCCCTCAAAGCTGTAAATTGGGGCCAGTATTCCGTTTTGAAAATTAAAAATACGTAATTAAGCTGGACCTTACCTTCTATGATTGCATATTCGCATATTATCCAGGTCACACTAGTAGAACGCTGCGGTCATGAGGGAGTGCCGATGGAGCGATGACCGGGTAGCTAAGCGAACGGACATTCCACGATCCCTCGGCAAGAAGACTGTACCAAGACTGGTGTGGCTGGCTACCAACGTCACTTTCCAAGTGATTCGAGTTTCCGGGGACTTGCCGGTAAAGTAGTTGTACTATTAGACATTGCACGTGTATGCCTCCAACTACAACATCCTTGAAAGTCGACACGAATATTTAAGGGTCGAATGTTCCTCCCAAGTTTCTCTCACAAGAACCATCACTCCAGCGAGAAAAACCATACAACCATAATACCAACCGCTTCAGCACCTTTCAAACTTAATAGTCATCTTCAAAACCGCCAAAATGCAGATCACGAACCTCTTCCTCTCTGCCCTGGCTGCAGCCACCGCAGTCTCTGGCTCCCCCGTTGCTAAGCGCGAGTCGAAGTCTATGATGGCCGCCGTTCCCGAGTGGACTATCGAGAAGTTCACTCGTTCTTGCAACGCCGAGGACACATCCTGCGACTACAGCTTCACCATCAACACTCACACTGCGGATCCTACCCCCTGCAAATTCACCACTACCGGCTCTCCCGCTAGCAGAGCCGCTTCCAATGCTAAGTGCGGTGCCTACACTGTCACCTCGGGCTGGAGCGGCCAGTTCGGCCCTGATGCCGGCTTCACCACCTTCTCCGTCACCGACCAGAAGCTGATTGTCTGGCCCGCCTACACCGATAAGCAGCTCGTCAACGGCCAAGCCGTCACTCCTGACCAGAGCTACGCCCCCCAGAACCTTCCTTGAATGGGAAATCACCTAAGTTAGACTCCGAAGTAAACAGGAGGAATGAACGGAAAGCTGGAAAAAGTACAGCATGATATGATGCAGCATTTATAGTAGTCTAATGTAATTCTAAGACAATTCTTCAGACAAAAGATTAAAAGACACGTTACCAAAAGTGAACTGCTCAAGTTGCGAATGTGAGACTTAGGCCAGTAACAAACACGTGATGCCCGGTCGATCGACAGTCAATGAACCGCGTTACGCCGAATTTTAACATGAAACGACGTAGTCGGCTCGGCTCGACTTGAAAGAGATTCGGAATTACTGGAGTAGCCGTCAATAGGAGTGGTTGGGAGACATCAATTAAGAACTAGTCTTTTGTAACACAACTCAGACTTAGCTGCAGGTACGTATAGGCCCTGTACAACGTTAATGGTATCAAGGCCTCTGCCGTAATAACACATCTTCAATTCAAATATACAGGCAAGCATAGTAGGACTTAGTTTACGTACACCAGCTTAAGCAACATCATCATGCTGGGTAAAAGAAGTCAAAGAGATGCTTTCCCATTTACCTTGAGTTATACGTGAATCCTCGTCACGGTGCCTATCTTAGATTCCTCATTGAGTCAAGAAGCATAGGTCACAAATAGGCATTATATGATAAGTGCAAAAGAATGTGTTTATATAATGTTGTAAATGACCAATATCAAACCAAACACCCCAAAATGTAATATTCACAAGACGCCGAACATGCTGATCTAACTCCACCACGCAATGCAGTCTATACTATATCTATACCATTTAACCAGTTTCCACTCTAATGTATGTAGGGTTCCTAAGTCTCCTTAGTTGGAGGGGCAGTATCCAATAGTGCAGGCATCCTGCTTGCAGCAACCACGGAAGCCGTTAGAGCAGGACTGGAAGAAGCCAGTACCAGGAGCGCAAACAGTAGGATCGTTCGAAGTGGGCTCGGCGTGCCACTCGTGGTCAGCCTGGGGAGCGGGAGTAGCGGTAGCCTTAGGAGCAGTCTTGGTGAGGGTCTTGAAAGCCTTGACGTCCGGGCAGTATCCAAGAGTGCAAGCATCAGACTTGCAGCATCCACGGAAACCGTTGGAGCACGACTGGAAGAAGCCGGTACCAGGAGCGCAGACGGTGTCGTCGCGCTTGACAACTGGCTCAGGGATCTTAAAATCAGGGCAGTATCCAAGAGTGCAAGCATCGGCTTTGCAGCATCCACGGAAACCGTTGGAGCAGGACTGGAAGAAACCAGTGCCAGGGGCACAAACGGTGTCATCGCGCTTCACAACTGGCTTGGGAGCCTGAACGTCAGGGCAGTATCCAAGAGTGCAAGCGTCAGACTTGCAGCATCCACGGAAACCGTTGGAGCAAGACTGGAAGAAGCCGGTACCAGGAGCGCAAACAGTGTCATCACGCTTGACCACAACGTCAGGGCAGTAGCCAAGGGTGCAGGCGTCAGCCTTGCAGCAACCCTTGAAGCCGTTGCTGCAGGATTGGAAGAAGCCAGTTCCGGGAGCGCAGACAGTGGGGTCCGAGGAAACGGTGTTGGTCTCAGGCTTCCAGTGTCCCTCGTGAGAAACGGGGGTCTCGGTGACCTTGGGGGTGGGCTCGACAGCGCTGTTGGGGCAGTATCCGAGAGTGCAAGCGTCAGACTTGCAGCATCCGCGGAAACCGTTGGAGCAAGACTGGAAGAAGCCGGTACCAGGAGCGCAAACAGTGTCATCACGCTTGACCACAACGTCAGGGCAGTAGCCAAGGGTGCAGGCGTCAGCCTTGCAGCAACCCTTGAAGCCGTTGCTGCAGGATTGGAAAAAGCCGGTGTTGGGGGCGCAAACGGTTGGGTCGGCAGGCTTCCAGTGGTTCTGTTGGGCGTTCTCTACTGGCGCAGAGTTGTCGATGGAAACATCAGGGCAGTAGCCGAGAGTGCAAGCGTCGCCCTTGCAGCAGCCCTTGAAGCCGTTGCTGCAGGATTGGAAGAATCCCGTACCGGGAGCGCAAACGGTGTCGTCGCGCTTGGACTCAGCAGCGGGAGCAGCCGCGGTGAGAGTTGCGACGGCAGCAAGAATGGTGAAGAGAGTAGAAGAATGCATTTTGATGATTTTGAGATGAAGTTTAGATCAAGCAAAGCAGGGCGTAAAGTGAATCGAAGAATTGAAGATTTGAAGATTTGACGTTATTTTTTGAACGATTGTCCCAAGAAAAGAGAAACCGACAAAGGAAATAAGGAAATCACAAAAGAAAAAGAGAAAAAGAAAAGGTTGGATGTTGTTGAGTTGTCTTGAGTATCTGTGATGATGAGGAGAGGAGAGAAGCATGATGGAGGAGGAGCAAGTCTGTTGATTTATAGACATTCACCAGCAACCAGAGGACAGGCTTTAGGAAACCGGACGCCATGTTCATCGTGACCCTAAAACCGCCTAGCTGGTCACCTCACTGCATGTTTACCTGGTTGTGAAGTCATCAATGGTAACAATTTTGGCATAAGCTAGTGGGCCAGCCACTTGGCTGCGCAAATTCCACCGACAACTCCCCCGGAATCTCAAGCTTGGCCCTAGTCTGCAGCAACACTATAGATCGAGGTAGGCTACTGGGCATGTTACGCAGGAAGGCTTACAATCAGCCCCCTCCCGTCATCCGTTGTATCGAGACATCGGGGAGCGAATCAGAGGTTGCGCAGCTCTCAAGCGCACTGCAAAAAAAATGTTTGTCAGCCCCCATTCAACAAGCGGGGCAGGGCTGAGCTGCAACTTTTCTGTGCTTGGGGCTGAAGTGCGGACGAGATGCCAGGCTACATTAGGCTAAGTCAAAGGCTGTATGCCCGCCTTGAGACTTCAGAAGCGGTGGCGCAGCAGGGGCGTCAGATGCCTAGAAGCCAGGTTTCTCGATAGTCTTGTGGCTGTCCTCACCTGTGCAAGGGTTTTGCGGTGATAGGAATAGTAAGCTTACTCTTGGCATAAAAAAAGGTAAGGAGGAAGACATGGTATCAAGATCTTAGTGGCAGAGAGAAGGGCAGAGTGACTGCACGATAAAATGACAGCTCTTGGGTCGCGTGGTGGATACCTACTCATCTACAAGTTGTTGCCTTTTTGCGTTAGGCAATTATAGTGTCTGTGAGCGAAATTCGGAGTGCAATAGACCTTAAAAAATAGAACTAACAATCGATTGCAGGTTGAGGTAGAAATATAAGGGGGTCGCTCGGCGGCGATGGTCGCAATGCATGAGGTTTCTTCTCTATCATAGTCTAGGCGTAAGGTAGGGATGAGTGACTTTGTCTTTGCTGGCCCTGGCTAGTGTGTGCGACATAGAAATTTATAATTCAGCCCCGATAAGTTGCAGTGGCGTAAAACATGTGAGCCTGCTTTTGTAGCAGTGATAATGAAGCATGTCAACGCTGATCAGGGCCGAAGAAGATCGGTTCCAGAGACCAGATAATCTCAATAGGAATTGTATTGGATACGGAATTAAGACGCAAGCACTCCGCGATGATTCCCGTGATGGAACCACCGGCTCAAGAAGGGGATGAGACAGGGTGAAGTTCTAGCTGCAGGATCCTTAGGCCACCGCCGATGCTGGTCCCGGCAATGAGTCTCTTTCTCGGGATTTCGCCGTGGCGGCACAGTGCTTGGCACACGGGACTCGGGACAACGGCAGCTAGAGGTTCACTTCGTCGGAAGTTGACGGCCGGTCCAGAAAGCCTACATCTCGTACGAGTGCATAACAATTGATTTGGGTACTTAAGTGCTGGGGATGGAGAATCAACTGTGGGATGCCGAATCTGGATGCGACAAAGGTAATCAGTGTATGCCATTCGTAATTAAACTCTCCCTGCCGTAATCACACCTAGTCGGAATATCTCTGAGTACCTAGATGAACTACTTACTTCGTAGTTACTGGAAGTAATTGAACGCAGCGCACCATTGTCGTTTCTAATTATCTCGTTGTCAGAATCTTAACAGCGTGTGACAGACATATGGTCCCATGTTTGATCAAAACAAGAACGAACAGAAATGACGCGGCTCAACGGCACTGTTTCTGTTTGTTTCACCAATCATGCCTAGCAGACCCCTGTGTTAACCCTTGCCAGAGCCGTTCATCGAAAGATTGAATTTGCAAGTTGCACAGCGCACTGTTGCGTCGGAATATTGAAGTTAGGCGTTCCAACAGGCAGCACCCCTGGTCAAATCAGCTAGGATAACAATAATTGACAGTGGCCAGGCCTCGATAGCGCCACCCAGTACTTTATTTCATACCCCCAACCCCCGTTCTGGTCGACATTTGGCGAAGCGAAGCTCAAGTCTGTTTTGGTCTTTTAATTAACACGGCGCCAGAATCCCGGCGTGAGAGGAAGCTTCTGGTCCGCCAGCTGGTTTCGACAACGCCCTCCGCTCAATTTCCCACAAGTGATGGGCCGGATCGTGGGGACAAGCGGGTGAGGTGCGAAGCCGCTACGGAAAATGAATCAGCTAAGCTCAGTGGTCCGTCAAATTTAGTAAGGAGAAAGGAGGAGGAAAGGAGGAGGAAGCAATTCCATATTTCTGTATCCCCGTATGTCTTCTAGCATAGCTGCAGTTTTCTTCGTTGCGTTTTCGTCACTCCTTTTCCCATTCTACGTCTCTCATTCTTCGGCTTTTGGTCGTCATTCATTTGTTCAAAACCACAAATAAATAAACACTATGAAATTCTCTGCTTTCTCGCTCCTTGCGCTGGGCGCTCTTTTCCCTGAATGGGCCAATGCATCGCTTTCCGGCAGTGTCGGACCGACGACTACTCGCGCTGCCAAAGCCGCCAAGAAGACGTGCAAGATCACGGACTATGGTGCCAAGACCGGCGCCACAGGAGACATCAGCGCTGCGCTTACTTCCGCATGGAACGCCTGCAAGACGGGCGGAGAGATTCTGATCCCATCTGGGGAATGGGGTCTTGGCAAGTGGGTGACTCTCTCGGGAGGTACCGGCGTCTCCATCAACCTCGAGGGCACCATCTACCGCACCGGCACTGCTGGCGGCCACATGATTATCGTACAGAAGTCGACGGATGTTGAGTTTTACAGCGGAAACTCCAAAGGTGCTATGCAAGGCTATGGCTACCAGTTTCACAAACGTAAGTATATCGCTTTTCCACAGGAGAAGTTAGCGTACTAACATCACGGCAGAGGGCAAGGGCGTCTACGGGTAAGATTCACGCGCCGGATTCTAGATAGCGAAAAGTTACTAATAGTTGGCAGACCTCGCCTCTTGAGATTCGTCTCGGTTACTGACTTCAGCGTTCACGATATTGCTCTTGTCGATTCTCCTGCTTTCCACTTCGTCATGGATGGCGTCAAGAACGGCGAGGTCTACAACATAATTGTTCGCGGTGGAAACCAAGGTGGCCTCGACGGACTCGATCTCATGGCTTCCACCAACGTTCATGTCCATGATGTTGCTGTTACCAACAAAGATGAGTGGTAAGCGAGCCCTTTCCTCCCTTTACCAGAGCTGCAATGGTGAGCTCGATGGGTTGCTCCGTCAGGACCTACTACACCCGTAGTTTCTGCCAGCAGCCGGATCTTGCCGGTGCTGTTTTTTAAAGGTTGAACGTCCAACTAATAGGGTTTACAGTGTTACTGTTAAGGTATGCCGACTGCCAGAAGAGAGAGTTTCTGATGAAACACCTCCACGTGGTATTTAAGCTATCGAACAAACGAACTAACCGTGCACAGAACAAGTCCAGCCACATTCTCGTTGAGGATATTTTTTGCAACTGGTCCGGAGGATGTGCTATTGGCTCTCTCGGCGCTGATACTGGTGCGTGCACACATGAAGCCAAAAGAAATGCAACGAATTCAAGTACTAACGCCGCTGCAGCCATTTCCGACATCACTTACCGCAATGTTTATACGGTCAACTCGAACCAAATGATGATGATCAAGAACAATGGCGGTGACGGCGTCTTTCAAAACTCCGTCTTTGAGAACTTCATCGGCCACGGCAATGCTTACTCTCTCAAGATCGACGCCGCATGGGCCGGCCAGAGCAAGGTGGCAGGTAACGGCGTTGAGTACAAGAACCTGACCTTTTCTAACTGGAAGGGTACTGCCGCCAACGGCGCTTCCCGTGGCCCTGTTGTTATCCTCTGCTCTGCGACCGCTCCCTGCGAGAACATTGACGTCTCTGGCATCAACATCTGGACCGAGACTGGCTCCTCCATCGTTGACAAGTGCAACAACGCCTTCGGCAAGGGTCACTGCTTGCGCACCGGCTCCGGTACCTACACCAGCGTCGCTACGACCAAGACCGTTGCCAACTATGCCGCCGCCACAATGCCCGGCCAGATCACTGCTGGTCTTGGTCTTACTACTTCCATCCCTGTCCCTGCTGTGCCCACGACCTACTTCCCCGGTCAGAAGCCTAAGAGCGCTTTGCTCGGCTCTGCTTAACTTATAAAGACATAGCCACCAAGAATCAGTGTCTGATTCGACTGGGATTGAGTTAGTCATATTTTCCTGTAAATATTTTGCTTGGGCAGTTACGGGGCACATCTCATTCGGGAAATGATGAATATTTTCTTCTGCCAATCTAACTCGATATATGATCTGTTTTTTCTCGCTATACATTGTCATATGTTATGATGACGATGTCTGAACGCTGACCTGAGATTTGATCCAATCTTCATCTAATGCACCCATCGTCACTGTCTTGACACCTTGTATTCCAACAAAGTCCTTCAGCTTACACCTCAATAAATAGGTAGGGGTACAGCTCCATGCGTGGCAGAAACTGTTGTTTCGTACGTCGCCATAAGGACTGGCTCTAGGGTCTTCCGGGTTGTAGCACTCCCAAAAGGTGTCTGCGCCGGCCCGAACCATGCCTCCCCAGTAGTCCGTCATAATCTCAATACACTTTTCGTAACAGCCTAGTGTTGCAAGGGCATCGCATACGTGATGCCAAAGATAAGGGGTAAGAGGTTTGAGAGCATCGGGGTGGGCTAGCGTGTTAAGCAATGCTGTCCTCGCCAGTTCCTTCGGGAAGGCTTCAGCCAGAACAAGCCACGATGCTGAGGCGTAGCTCACTTGGGCCTTGGGGCCAGAAATGAACACGTTTTCCGACGAGATGAAAATCTTCGCTGCTTCAGTCATTCGAGCTACGAGATCCAAAAAGGGGGCTTCTTCGCCAAGGACCTCAGCGAGAGCGTTTGCTGCTTTGAGTGAGTACAAGAGAACACCATGTTCACCAGCGCTGTGTTCCAACCCAGGCTGCCAATCAAGAAACTTCCACCCCTCACCCTTGGACTCGTCAAATGCATAGGTGGTAGTGTCAAGGTGAGTGATGGCCCGTTTCACGCAGCCTAAAACAGTCGGCCAAAGGGCATGGCCCGAGGCCGTGTCGCCCGACGCTGTCACATAGTCATTGACAATGGCAGCGAATAAAGCATCGTAGTCAACGATATAGTCAGTTGACGGAGTAAGCTGGGGCTGCTCAAAGATGCACGCAGGAACCGAGTCGTCCTCGCGTGCCACCGCGGCAAACTGGAAGATACAGCGCTTGACAAGGTTGAAGTCCTTGAACGTGGCGTAATTCGCAAGAGCCTGCAGACGAAGATCACCGCTCCACAGTCGGCGGTCGCGACGAGGACCGTCTTCAAAAACTGTTTGCATGCAATCTCTCAGTGTTGAGATACTGACGTGGTCAATCTTCTGAAGGAGGTTGTCGTTGAAATGCAACGCCTCCAGAGGATGATCCTGACCAATTGCGCTGACGCACTCGCACTTGATGTCTGTGAAAACAACTTTGTACTTGGGCGACGTATCTATGACTTCAACGCGCAGAAAGCGGAAAGAGTAACGGCGCCTCAGGGTGACGAGTTCAGGGCACATATCAATATTGATAACCTCATCTGGCAACCAACTGGTACTGATCCATGTTTTGACGTTGTCCATGCCTAGCGTCACGTCCAAAGGAGACTCGCCGAAAGTTAGGCGTAGCCTGCAAGGGGCGTCCATGTGAGATCCCCGTGACTCAAGGCGCATTGACACATATCCAACCATGTGTATGCCAAAATCCAATATGAAATCATCGCCTTTACCCCAGGCCTTTGAGGGTAGTTGATCGATTGGCGGATCCGCCAGCTCTGCGCGAAGGCCGAAGTATTCGTTTTCATCTTTGGCGAAGTTGATGACCCTCTGCGGTGTTCGTACCCATTTATGCAGCTTTGGGCATAGGTCGTTGGCTACCTTTTCGAAATTCCTGTTCCATTTGGTTGGAAGAACGCTCTCGACCATGGTCTCGGGAGCATCAGACATGATGGGCTTGGGGCTTGAAAGAGAAACTAATTTCTTGGCAAGGAGTCTTGGGCCGGATAGCTAGGCTTCAAGCACAGGGTTGTTCAGGATTCAGCTGGGACGATGCGTTCAGCTGGCCAGGCTGCTCTAATGTGGCAGTCTCAAATAGAAGTCATAAACGCTTCGGTATTTCACCCCTCCGGGAGAGGCATCTAACCCCACTCGGTCGGAAAGTAGAGGCGTGTGGCTGGCGCTTCCGATTACTCAATCGGGTCCTCTTCGTCGTCACGATCCCGGAAAAAAGGGCACTAGTCTTGATTACAGGGAAGAATGCGGTGAGTATGGGCGGGTGGTTTTTCAGACCCGGTTACGAAGCATAGGCGAGGCTAGCAGGGCTTTAACTGCGGTAAACTGCTGTAAAGCTATACGGTGGTATGGTGTGAGCATGCAAGGTGGAGTTTTTCCATCTTTCTTTTCAGTCTGTACAAGATGAGTTGCTTGGTGCTCAATTTAAGTATGATCAAAGCGTCGTAGTGCTATCTCTTGAACTGCCATCATACTGCCCTCTTCTGATGCATGCCGAGACCGAAGGACATCAATTTTACTTTACTAAACCGGGAAATATAGCAGCTTTACCTTCCCTCTCAATGGCCCCCTTTACAGACTCATTTCAATTGTACTTACCATTCATGTCGTCTTTAACAGCCCCGGTTTATCTCGTAGGTAATCAAAGACTAGAGCGTGTCGAAGTCTGGATTCTTCGTTACATTTACTCCGCACGAACTCAAGTGGAAACGTGGGTGGTTATGGGGACCCCAGATTAAGACCAAGCAGACGGGTCATTGATGCACCGGGTCGAGGTAAGTTCATGTCGAGAGCTCCATCTACGGTACCAATTGGGCTAGACGGCCGGAAAGAATAACCAACCACGGCCCTTAAGGCTATTCTTCGGGAAATGAACTGACTCAGGACTCCATTTGCCGAAGCCAGCAACTGACTGACTCCTTTCCTTGGGAGATGTGTTGACAGCCACACAATCGAGCCATCACTGAAACGCACTGGCATTATGCCATTGTCCCACAACATGGCTGTAAGTCGGCCTTTTCCCCACAAAGAGTCGACCACATGGCTGGTAAGGATACGAGTCACGAGCTCGGCGATCAGCCCATGGCTCGGCTGAGGGGTTCTACCAACAATTAGACTACCAGACAATAGCCCTCGGTCGGACAATCGCTGAAGCGACGTTGACCCGAAGAAGTGCCTACGATCGCCTCTACTGGAACGAGTCACGAAGCATGTTTGACAATAAGAACTGGGGACATTCCTGGCTTTGTTGTGACTGTTACCCCAGTTCCCCAGACTGAAGTTCTCGACTCCCCCAGATTTGTTCAAACTTTATTTTTTTTTTGGTTGGGAACCCTTTGAGCAAAATTTTCAAAGGTTTTGCAGTAAGAGTTACAGCAACTGAACTCTCAACATGAGCGCAACCAACCTTGAAGCGTCAAAGACGCCCATCGTCGCCGACAAAGACGACATCGCCGCGGCCAAAGGCGAACACGTCGAGCAGATCGGCCACGCCGCCACCGCCGAGGACCACGAAGAAACTGCGTTGCAGGCCATTAAAAACAAGCCTTGGGCGTTCGTTTGGTGTGTTTATGCCATCTACGTCCTCGTCCTCACCAGTTTCGACAACCAGGCGGGTGGCTCTATTCTCGGTATACCACAGTTTCGCCAAGACTTCGGCTCGGAATACAACGGCGACTATGTCCTCCCTGCTAAATGGCAGTCTGCATATAGCGGAGCTCCCGTAGCATCGTAAGTGAAGAATGCGCTTATAGATGTGATAATAAGCAACTAAAATCTTCCCTCCCAGTGCTGTCATCGGATCACTTGGTGCCGGTTACGTAGCCGACATCATCGGCCGAAAGTGGACATACCTGCTCTCCTATGTCTTTATCTTCACCGGCATCACGCTCGAAACTATCAGTACGACTAATGAGATATTCTTCGCCGGAAAGTTCATTGCGGGTTTCCCCATCGGCGCCTTCATTACTGTCAGCATGACATACATTGGCGAAGTCGCACCGTTGGCTCTTCGTGGAATCATGACAGCAGCCGCCGGTATCGCTTTTACCATCGGACCCTTCATTGTGTCGCTGATTCTTAATGCGACGGGCACCAGGAATGACCGATGGGCTTACCGAGCCATCTTTGTTTCACAGTACGGCGTCAGCGGTTTGGGTTTCTTGATTCTCTTCTTTATGCCAGAGTCTCCCTGGTGGCTAGTGAACAAGGGTCAAATGCAGAAGGCGGCAAGGTCCCTTAGCCGTCTCGGATACGATGATGTAGAGGTTGAGAAGCGGCTTTCTATCATCACCACCACTCTTTCCGAGGTACGCAAGGAGACGGAAAGTGCAAGCTTCGCCGAATGTTTCCGCAAGTCCAACTTACGCCGCACCATTCTCTCTGTTGCCCCCATGAGCATTCAGGCCCTGTGCGGCGTTTACTTCGTTGCTTCATATTCGACCTATTACCAACAAATTGCCGGCTACTCGACCAAAGAAAGCTTCGTCCTGGCTATCGTTCAGCAGATCCTGTCGATGCTCGGCAATATTGTCTCCTGGTTCCTCATCGACAGAGTAGGCCGTCGTGGGCTAACTCTTTATGGAATGTGCATCTTGACAGTTCTCCTGATGGTTACTGGCGGTCTTGCCGTTGCAGGCACTCCTGCTGCGATTAAGGGAACAGTTGCTCTGCTCCTGGTGTACTGCTTCTTCTATAACGTCACCATCGGAGCGACCGCCTACGCTCTGTTGACCGAGATTGCGACTTCTCGTCTCCGTGCAAAGACAGCTTCCATGTCCTTGGCCTTACAAAACGGTCTTTTCGTAAGTCTTTACGCTGAAAGAATGTTATTTGTCTTGCAAGTTTACTAACCATGAGCATAGACTATGTGGGCATTTGTCATTCCCTTCCTCTTCAACCCTGATCAGGCAAACCTTGGTGCCAAGGTTGCATTCATCTTTGGTGCCCTTGCCATTTTGTCCACGGTCTACCTTTGGTTCTACCAACCTGAGGTTGCAGGCAGGTCGTATGAGGAGTTGGATGAGATGTTCATGAAGAAGGTGCCCGCAAGACAGTTCAAGGACTTCAAAACGGAGGTTGAGGAGAAGGGCGCGCGAGCCCTTGCCGAAAATAATTGAAACCAACTGGGCGGTTTGGGGCAATGAAAGAAACCATGGCAAAACTTTCAGTGGGCTGGCCTCTAGAGAAGCCCTAGAGACATGAGCTGAGCCGGCTATGGCTAGGCCAATCTAATACATTCGGACGATTAATGATAATTTTACGTTTATGGAATTCCTGTTGGGAGTCTCCGTGATGTGTAATTGATATATACTTGTGTTAAAGCAAAGCGGTGCTACAAAGCACCACACATGTTTAGACTTAGAGGCAGTTTGGGAAGTGAATGCTTCTTCCATCCCAAATGACATGACCTCGTCATACTGTCTGCTGCAAGGAGAGCAGCACTTGTCTGCCACTAATTCTGCCATACTCCTGACACTCTCGATGAAGGTCTCCGACAGTGGTTGCCTATGATGCATCAAATCATCATTACCCCTGACCTTGGTACGGCCAATGCCTAGCTAGACCTTAAGGTTCGGGCACTGCCAGGTTTATCTGCGGCCTTAAAATATGCTTCAAGCAAAACAGTTCCGCCAAGATATTATTGGAAGGGACATGGTGAAGCCAAGTAGCTTCCGTGCCACTATGCTGATATGTAGACTTGATAGAAAACTAACGAACAAAGACGCGCTTCACCTACGAACCTAGTCCGGAAGAACCATTCTACAGAAAACACAGATGCCCTGCAACTGCAATCAACGAAGGAATTCATTATTGTGTTACCGTGGGTCATCTGGAGGCTCGTGTTCCTTAAGACATGGATTGATGAATTCTTAAAACTCGCAACTTACCAATGTCAAATGGTTTTGTCAGTGCTACAAAACAGAACTGGGTGAAATGAATCGCAAGTATAAAATGAATTTTGAGAAGGAACTAAAACAATTTAGAAAGCAGCCAATGCCGTGATATGTTGGCCACAGCTTGTTACAAGTTCAACTCTCATTCGGTGGAGATATGTAGGCGTTCGTGAAAGCCTGCTGAGTGCATAGAACTTACGAACGACCAACTTGCAGGTGCGCGTATTCAGCGCCGGTGCTTTCCGAAAATCATTTCCTTTTATAAAGATTAAGAAGAAGCTACCTAATAGTAACTGCTCGCCACTCCATTTGAAATAGGGTATGCGAGGGACAAGGGGTCAGTTGTACTCCCAGGAACCAGGTGCAAATTTGAATATGCATCTGCGAGCGGAGTCGCAGTAGGCCGAGACAATGCGCAAGGTAAATCTGGGGGCGGAGACAGGACACGTGCTAGTGCCCATCGCTCGTCTCCGCATTCACCAAAGAAAGGCATTGAGCAGCTGGGAAGGCTCATCAAACTTCGTCATTCTGACAACGAATCTGCCACTTTCCCATCAATCCAATCATTGCGAGTTGCAGAAGCACTAATGTTTACATTTGGAATCGATGATATGGGCTTGTGTCATCCCATAGCTGTCGGTGAAAGCCATCGGAGACCAGCGAGAGGCCCAAGATAAAGCCAGGTCGGAGCTTTCCTGGCCCTTATCACTCGAAACCTTCACGTGTCTTCCATTACATAGCGATTTGATACTTGATTCTCACCTATAGACCTGTTTGGAGAAGCGGAGCCGACCGAAGCTGAAAAAGTACGGATAAACACCTACCTGATCAGTATGGGAAGAAAGCAAGGCACTTTTGTCTTTCGCCCAATCTCTGTGCGTAGTGCACGCGGTCATTGACTGAATTGGGCAAAGATACGACGTCCGGGCCTGCACGTTGCAGCCTGTCCAACAGTCAGGAACCTTGCCTCTCATCTGTTCCCCAGGGTGGCGTGGGGCCTACCACACCCTGCGTGCGTACCGTAGCCCGTGTACAGCACGCCCTAGCGTGTTCCCTTTGGATAGTTTGGGGGGGCAAGAGGCCGAGCGACTAGGATGACAGATGCAGCAAGATAGTTGTGTTCATGCTTCATTGCCTGTGATTCGTGCTTGATCTTGAGGAGTCTGGGGTGAGATGAAAGATTGATGACAGTGTCCCTCAACCCCGGTTCACACTTAGGTTCTCGGCCCTGCCCGGCAAATGGACATGTAGAAAGCCAAACCAAATTGAGGGGAAGGAAGCCGGTGCTAGGGAAAGCGAGGGAGAAGTGCTTCATCAGTGTTAACGTTAGGCCTGTTGAGGGTCTTAGCATGGGCAATAGCGCAGTCGCAGTAAAACAGATGACAGCTTCTTTGGGGCATTGAGCCGCCAATCTAAAGAGTTCGTCTCTTTATTACAAGCTTAATGGGCGGCGAGTCAACTATGCTATCCAAGCAATGACGCTTCTTATCGCCAACCCCCCTACCATCCATCAAAATATGGTGTGTAGCCACAAGCTAGAAGATGAGCCTTACGTACCACACACATGGTAAGCAGTCCTTTACTCACTCGAGGAGAAAGATAGTGGCCAGAAAAGCAGACGATTGACTGGCGATATACGCTGAGGAACATAAATGATCATCGATGCCGTCGTGTTCCCCCTTCCATTCGATCCACGGCGTTGGTGGCGCTGGGCGCGGCTGATGCAGGCCATCTCACACCAGTCCCAATTCTCCGCATCCCTCCGTGCTCTAGTAGCAATTTGGGGGTCACAATGCACTGGCGTGTCTTAGGGTCTCGGCCCCTAACAGCCATCATCTGTTTAGGTGCGCCCCAAGAGTGCGGAAGGATCTGTCACACCTGCTCGCCGCATAGAGCAAGGATGGTATCGAGCCTATCAAGAGATTGTCAATGATCTGTGGTTGACGCCGTCTCCGGTCTTCATTGCTCAATGCTGAGTGCTCATTGGTGATTCTGGAGTCGACAGATGATGATGAGAATAGAGAAGGCTTCCCAGGGGCCATGATTCGTGCGTCTTGTCCGAATGGATACACATCTCATCGTCTCATCACGACAGCCCAATCCCACGCAGGACAAAAGCAAATAACCCAGTGCCCAGCAACATGTTGACACACTAGGCTTGCCCTTTTGCTAGCCGGCTGTCCACCCAGCCACCCAACGGCCACTCTCGTCTCTTCAATCTCAGTCGACTCCACAGCATGTCTCCATCGTTCCATCAACCTTCCAGAACTGGAAGCGCGCCGTTGGCTTTGCCACATAGATTTTAGAGCTAGTTGGCTTGGTTCGGGTTTACGCGAGCGTCGTGGTGTTCGGCCCTCCCACAATCCTTGTCATGCCACCCGCAAACTGCACGAGGAAAAAAAAAAAAATTTCGATCCTTATCGCATGTAAAGGGACCCGGTCGGAATTTTTGATTAACCCAGCATCTCAAATTGATAACACCGAGACACGACGAACCAGCGGAACACCGCCTGGGTTCCCTTTGGGTTTTTTTCTTGAGCTCGGGAACTTTGCCAGAAGACTACAAAGTGCAGTCAAAAGAACAAGACAACACAAATGGATGATAAGGGCAAACAAATGTAGCATATGAGATGAGATAGAGGGGGAAAAGGGTCTGACCGGTGGTGGCAACGCCCCTCCTCGATATCGTCCTACCGTGACTGAAAATCCCCTCCTCGACCTCCATCTCTCCCTGGCCACCCTGGCCCATCTGGTGGTATCTCCTGTACCACAATTTGTCCATCCCACATCCGCAAACCTTGTCACCCATCCATCCCGGACCACTCGTTGGCCGTGAGCCGTTCAGAATCTGGGTCAATCCACCGAAATGGGCACCGAACCACATGAGGGTTCATCCTCTTCCTCCATACCCAGGTGGGTAACTGAGCTGCGGGTGTGTAACCTGCATTCTGCGCGCGCAACCTGGCCGACCAAAAGGCGGCGAACTCCATCCTTGTCCGCCCGAACAAACCTGGGGCCTGGCCTGGCTCCCGGGTTGCTGATAAGCTATGGTTGAGGATCGTTGCGTCCTAGCCTAGCCTCGGCACTACTTTCGGGTTTCTTGATCGTCGCACTGGGAATTTTTAAAAAGGGCTTCCCCTCAGGACGCGTCCATCGAGGGCTCGTCTTGTGCTTCTCGTCTGTTTCGTGCAGCAGCTCCCTTCCCTCCTCTCATGCTCGCCTAGCGGAGAAGTCATCTGATCGGTGGTCAAGTTCTTTTGCTTCAACAAAACCCAGGCAAGCCTTCAACTGCGCGAGCCCGTGGTCCACCACCATCCCACCTCGTGAAAAATTTCTCTCGATCTTTTTCCGAGTCAGCAAGCTCAACGCTTCCCCTCTCTTTATCCCTTCTCCCTGGCAGAAATAATACTCGGTGCGATCCGAAACCCTATTCTGCAGCCATGGCTTCCCACGTCACCGAAGTCAACCAAGCCGCCGACAAGCCGCCGTACCAAAGCCCGGCCGGCACGCCGCCCCGTCGTAACTCGGACCCGGCGCTGGAGATCTCCAACCAACACCAACACCCGCACGTTCACCACTCCTCTCGTATCGATGCGAAAGGGCACGAGGACAACGTCGTCTACACTCAGACTGGCCAGTCCACGGTCCCCCACCAGAGCCATCTCCACCAACACCATGAGCCGCTCGACATCGAGAAGGGGGGTAGCCCGGATAAGCTGAGCGGCCCTCCCGATTACGATGGTGAGAAACCCGGTATTGTATCTCCTCCCTCTGAGGAGGAACGCCGGAAGCGCTTCAACATGGGCGCCTTTTACAAGAAGTACAAGTGGGCTTTCCACATTTTCTTCGGCGCGTTCTTCACCGGCTGGTGGATCGCGTCGCTGGTCTTGCATCGCCACGACAAGAACTGGGTCGTGCCGTTCCTCGTCTGGCTCGGTATCATGCTCCGCCTGGTGTTCTTTTACGTGCCCAGCTCCTACGTCTCCCGCCCGATCAAGTTCGTCTGGCAGCACTCGGCCGTCTTCATCTACAATGCCATCCCCGCCAAGTTCCGCACCTTTGCCGGTGCTGCACTGACCATTGCCGTCATGCTCGTCGGTTCGTTCGTCTCGGAGGAGGAGGCCGACAACACCCGCGAGAACCGCGCCGTGTCCATCTTTGGCCTGATTGTCATTCTCTTCTGCTTCTGGGTCACCTCCAGAGACCGCAGGCGCGTCAACTGGCGCCCTGTCATTGGTGGCATGCTGTCGCAGTACATCATCGCGCTCTTTGTGCTCCGCACTAGCGTTGGTTATGACATCTTCAAGTTCATCGCTGATCGCGCTGGAGACTTGCTTGGCTTCGCCGAAAAGGGAACTGCTTTCCTGACTTCCCAAGACATTGTTGACCTCCATTACTTCATTTCTGGCGTCATTCCTCCCATCATCTTCTTCGTCGCTATTGTTCAGGTCCTGTACTTCATTGGTTTCCTGCAATGGTTTATCGGCAAGTTCGCGACTTTCGTCTTCTGGGCTCTTCGTGTGTCCGGTGCCGAGGCCGTCGTCGCTGCCGCCACCCCCTTCATCGGCCAGGGTGAATCCGCCATGTTGGTTCGTCCTTTCGTTCCTCACATGACCAAGGCCGAGATCCACCAGATCATGACCTGCGGTTTCGCGACCATCTCTGGTTCCGTTCTCGTCGGCTACATCCGCCTGGGTCTCAACGCCCAGGCCATGGTGTCGTCGTGTGTCATGTCCATTCCCGCCTCCATCGCCATCTCCAAGCTTCGCTACCCTGAGCGGGAGGAGACCTTGACCGCCGGAAAGGTCGTCATCCCCGAAGATGATGAGCAAGAGGCCAAGAACGCCATCCATGCCTTCGCCAACGGTGCTTATCTTGGTATCAAGATTGCCGGTACCATTGTGGCCTCGATTCTTTGCATCTTGGCCTTCATTGGTCTTGTCGATGGCCTGCTGTCGTGGTGGGGAAGGTACCTCAACATCAACGACCCGTTGACCCTGAACCTCATCATTGGCTACATGTTCTACCCGATCGCTTTCTTGTTGGGTGTTCCCCGCAATGGTGACCTGCTCAAGGTTGCTCGTCTGATTGCCCTCAAGGTTGTCGCTGTAAGTGCAATTCCCCTTAAAAGCCGATAATCCATTCTCTCTCTCTCTCAGGTACTTATCCTTTTTTCAACAGAACGAGTACGTTGCTTTCACCGAGATGTCGAAGGCTCCCTACACCGACCTTTCCCCGCGCTCCCAGCTCATTGCTACATACGCCCTTTGCGGCTTCGGCAACATTGGTTCTCTCGGTATCCAGATCGGTATCTTGAGTCAGCTTGCCCCCAGCCGTGGTGGTGACGTTAGTGCCTTGGCCGTCTCTGCCCTCATCTCGGGTGTTATGTCGACCCTGACTTCCGCCGCCGTTGCCGGCCTCGTCGTTACCCACCAGTCGACGGTGTTTGGAGGTGCGAGCTAAACGGAAAGGCGCCCATTTAAGCGACGAGCCGTTTACCAGTCGCAGTCGTTGTTGAGATGAGTGAAACGATGAAAAAGAAAAAAGAGTAAAGAGTAAAAAGATGTGTGTACGATGTTGATGAGGCGCGCTCGCTCGCGTTGAAATACCTGTGAGAGGATATATATATAAGTAGTACTAGATAATACCCGTAGTGTCAGCGAGCTGACAAATTCAACTCGGATTTCCAACTCCCTAGAATAACCCCCCAGTCGCAGGGCCCTTGAGAGGATCTTATAGTGAAGCTGAAAGTCGTGGCCTGGTTTTTCAAGACGTGATCCCAGGCGTTCTTGCGCGATCGGCGTGCTTCTTTAATAAGTCTTAGTGCTTCAATTGTGCTCTGCCCCTGGAGTCGGCTCGTCCGCCCCGCCGTCAGACTTCTCCGATGGCTGTCCGTGAGTCACGCCGAGGGGTCCCGGCCGTTGGTAGAAGGCCTGCATGGCGTGTTTGACGGCTATCATTGGCCCCTTGGCTCCCTGTGGTACCCTATCCCGCCTGAAAATTTGGAAGGGGAAAAAAAGTTTTCTCCCACCAGGAGCTGCGTGTATAAATCCCGCCTATGTCCAACGGACGTCGGCGCCGGCCGTAAATGCACGGAGGTAAATTCACGTTGCGAGGCCAAACCTCGGCCTGCTGGTTTTTGGTGCGTAATGGGAACAAGAAAGGGGCTTGGAAATGCGCTGTTTTCTAGTTACCTTATTGATCCTGTCCCAGTCGCTGAACCAGTAGTTTGCTGTCATTTGGGGGCTCCCCCACGAACACCTCTGAGGCGAAATTGGACGGCATCTCCACCGGAGCGCAAACTGCCTGCATCGGACTTCGTCGGTCGCCGGTTCTCAGGGGCTCACCGTCCGTCGAATATTAACACTTGTATTTGTATTTCGATATCTGATGATGAAAAATCCGGTTTCGTCCGGTCTACCAAGTCCCAGAGACTACAGCCCGCCCGGAGCACTCTGCAATCCGTCAGCTCAGGTTACATCCGCGGATTAATACGGCTTCTTACTCAAAACCTTGTTTCTTAAGCATCATCCAGTACGTCTTGGATACATGCTACGCACATGAGATTTGCTTGGTTGCATATTTTGGACGCCTCCGCCTGGCATTATGCAGTCAATGAAAGGCACCCTCTTTAAGGATCCATATTGTCTGGTCTCCTGGGTATATCAATGGTGGTCTGATGCCGGTGCCGCCTATACTCGAAGAAGGAAAGCTCCCAGGTTTCGGCGGCCGCCTCTAGCTCGCGAAAATGGAGATCAGATTCCATTCACTTAGCTTGCTTGCTTGAAAGGCTATAACACGGGAAGGGGTTGTATATCCCAGCACCATAACTGTGCCCGTTTCAAGCAAGTGCAAAATATAAGTGGTTGAATGGAATGGAATCTTCCATTATGATCTAGAAAGACTCATCAAGCATTGTCAAGTGGTTGTGATGGAGTCGGCCAACAATAGGGCCATTTCCAAGGAGTGATTAAGTACGTGGCACTCGCCATGTCGAAAAGACTACCGTCATGGGTGATAAGTTTATCAAGTCTTTTCAACACTGATAAGCTTCTACAATGTTTAATGTTCATGCTATGCTGCTAAGGTATTCATAGGACAATAGTAAAACAACGCTGCATTGCTGGCTGGCAACGGGCCGGTAATGACTTGCTGCTACAAAATATACCAAGCAACATTGTGCTCGCATATAGCTACTTTTGACATCACAGAAAAACGTTATTTATACCTCGGACTGCCTTGACATCTCCTAAGGGCAAATATTCTGAATGTAACGTTTGCATCGCCGGTTTGCCGGCCCTGAATACTGGAATAAGGATCTCGGATTTAACCGGCCGGAATGAACGATTCATCTCTACAACAGCTCCGATTGGCTTGTACGAAGAAACTCAAGTTACCTTGCAACTTGATGATAAACACTCGAGTCAGTTGGGATGATGCAAGGTTTTGTGGGCTCAGCAGAGTGAGCTAATATTATATACGAAGAAAGTGAATGACCTCTTGGGTCACAATGGTTATAAACAAGAATTTCTGCTCGCAAGGTGCGAGCGATCAGACAACAAGGCATCAGGCCTGAAAGGGGCGTCTATGTCTCTATAACAGACCACTCCCTCTTAAACAAGAGCCTTGAAACCAAAGTGCTCGAGCTTCTTTGCTCGGGATCTTAGGCCATGGTGCACTGGGAGTACCAGTCGTTGCTCTTGGTGCACTTGAAGCCGGAATCGCAAGAGGTAGGACCAGTCCAGCCATTGCCACCGCACTGTCCCCAGGGGCCAGCAGTCGCGCCAGAGCCAGAGCTGGCGGGCTGAGTAGGCTCAGCAGCAGCAGGCACGGTAGGTTCGGCAGCAGCAGGGGTGGTGGGCTCGGCGCAGTCAACCTCATCGTCGTCCTCCTCCTCGACAGGGTCCTCCTCGACAGGGGCGTCATCGACGGGGGTAGGCTCGGGGGTGGGCTCGGGGGCAGCAGAGGAAACGGGAGCGGGAGAGGCAACGGGAGCGGCAGTAGCAACCGGGGCGGCAGAGGAAACAGGTTCAGCTGCGGCAGCATCGGAACCAGAGCTGAGGCTAGAGTCGGATTGCCAGCCGCGCTCGCGGGAGAACTCGTACCACCAGTTGCGGAGCATCCAGCCGTCGAAGTCAGTGATCTTGGCAGAGGAACCAGCAAGCATGACGAAGCTGTTGACGCCAGTGGGGGTCCAGTCTATGTCATAATCAGTATTCTGTTGCAGGGGTCATCGGGGGATAGTAATAGCATCGATGCTAGATCGTAACATACCGTAGACTATTGGAACACATTGTTAGCGAGGGGCCAAGACATATATGGGGTGTAGTTACTCACAGTCATCGAGGCCATAGGTGTGGCCGATCTCGTGCTGAAGAATGTGGAAATCGCCGTCAAGGGAAGCCATGAAGGCCTCGCGGCCGATACGCTGACCCCAGTCACCACCAGCACCACCAGCCATGCCATCGGTAAGCCAGAGAGACTGGTCATAGTGGCGGTCAGCACCGGCAGCACACTTGCTGTAGTCGCCGTTCTGGTTGAAGAAGCGGCCGCAGGACTCGGCGCACTGGGGGATGCCTTCAGCGTCCTTGTCAGTGTAAACCTGAATGCCATCGGTGGAGCCCTGAAGAAGGCTCTTATCCTTCACGGCCCAGCCGACGACGTTGACCTTGACACTGGAGAAAGGGAAGTTGTCATAGCCGTAGAGCCACTTGTACCAGCTCTGGTGGGATCTGTTCAAGGCGGCAGCCACCGACTTGCGCTGGGCCTCGGTGACGGAGGCGCTGGACTCCCATCGGACACAGACGTTGATAGTTCCCTTGGTGGCGATAACCTGGTCCCAGCCGTAGTTCTTGAAGCCGGCGAAGTTGGAGTATGTGCTCTTGCAGTGGTCCCAGACTTCCTTCAGGGGCTTGACGAGGTCAGAAGGAGGGTTCCAGCCAGACTGCCTCTTTACGGGGCGGTTGCGGGGCATGTCCTCAAAAGAACGACCAGAGACGGAAGAGAGGGCCTGCCACACGGAACCGTCAAGGTCGGAAGGGGTTGAGATGCTCATAGCCTGAGATGAGGCCGCAAGTGCCACAGCGGCGGCGGAGGCAGTAGTGAAACGCATGATGGAATGAGTGAGGAAACAAAAAAGATATACAGAAACGAAGTGAAGGTTGTTTGATGAAAGAATGACAATACAATGAAGTTGGATTGAGGGAAAAGGGAAAGAGATGATCAAAACATAGCGCAACTTCAAGAGATATATACAAAGTCCGACCTTTCCAACAATTTCGTATACAGAGAGACCCGAGAAGTCAGCGGCCCACCAATCACGCTAGCTGGGTATCTGCCGTGCTGACAGAGGAGGCCAAGATGTCAACGCTGCCATTCCCCCTTAACTGTTGTGCAGAAAAAAAGCCGTGCCTAACTAGTTGTAGTGGCATCCATTGGCGGGAGATCAAGACTGCGGAGACTCATGGGACGATAGCAGATTAAGGACCACTGTGAGAGTGGCGATGTTTGCCCAAGTTGGAGAACAAATCCTACGGCGCGGAGAGGGGCATGTTTCCTATCTTGAACGGTCTGGCCGGATATATATGACGCCAAGGTCGACGGACAATTTTTGCGTGACAAGCAAATATTAGCGGTAAGCACAGCGTGCTCAAAAACCCGGGGAAAGGCGCATCTGCGAGGTCTCAAAATGGCATAGTGCAAAGGGGGTGCAGAAAACTGCCATCAACTAAGACAATGCGAAGGGGCAACATTTCATACCGCATTCCTCCACCTGTCGCCATCGAAAGTCATATCCAAGCTCATAAACCTCTGATCTTAAGAAACATGGAAACGATGTTTTCGGGTCGATCATCCGTCACGGACTCACAAAGGATTACCTAGGTCAGATAGCATGAGATGGCAGAAAGAGGAGACGAAAGACAGGGGAGAAAGCTGGAGGAAGCTGTTTCAAAGGAGCAGAATGGCAAGAAAGGTGAAACAGTAGACGGGATTTGCGGGACGCGCCCAACCAGGATCCTGCCATCCCCCCCTGGCGCTTAGTTGTGTTCAGCGCTCGCTATCGGTAAGCGAGTATGGTATTTTTCGTAATTACATCCAATTCAGGCCCAGGAGCCGTCTTGGCGGTTCCACGACCGAGGCCCGGCGATTCCAGGACCTTGGCTTTCGAGGTGATCACCTCACTCTTGAGCAATGAGCTACATCCTATTTAGTATCATTCCGTGGTACTGGCGCGAGAAGGTTCTGTTTTCGGCAGATGGAGCCACCGCAATGCGCTGAATGAGTGAGCCTCAACGCTAGTTGGAAACATGCTTTGCATGCAAGTCGGTAGGGCTGAGGCCTTACTTAGCATTTGTGCCATGGATGGAGACAGTTTGTGGCCTACAGCGCGGTGTCATACTAAAAGCTGTTGTTGTGGGTTACTCATTTCAACGGGGATTCGCTATTGGAACGCCTTCAGCGCCCTTGGTCTCCCTTCTCTGGGGATAGAGTCATGCGCTTCTTCCGTCGTCGTCTCTAGCTTACATTGCGATTACCTGCTGGTTCATAACCTACATACTTTGAGCCTCATTGTCAAAGCTTGATCCTAGGGTTGTATCCCCAGAATCGGTGGGTTCATGTAATTGCAATTAAGCATGATGTTCACCTTTATTTCTCGAAATGATATTTCCGCTATGCGGCTCGCTTAGTGTTAATTCGCAGTCTCGACTACAGAGCGCTCCCCACCTCGGGTGCAATTAATTAAAAACTCAAACTCACTTTATGCTTCCCCCCTTAGGAGGATCACCTGTTCGCCTTAACCAACCAATTGCGCATCATATTTTCCGATCCAGTACAACTATGATTTAATATGCATGGGTCAATTCGACAGAGCAAACGACGCCCGCCGCAAATACGAAGCGCCACGCACGCACCCCTTACCTCCCCACCATTAAGCAAGGAAGGCCTCAATACTACATTCTCCAAGGATGTGGTTTGATTAGTGGAAATCTCATTACATGGAGAGGGAGCAGCAGAAGTACAACTCGAAAGCTGATCCTATAGAAATAAACTAAAACCCAAGAGAAGCGCGACGACTTGGTCATTGCGAGGAACTATTTGAGACGTTATGTTCTAGCAGCTGGACTCGCCATGCATATTCTGTAGTTTTTCTATCAAAAGCAGCCTTCTCAATCGAAAGACGGCTTTGCCAATATGCACTCTATTTTTGACAAGCTGAGGTCAGTGAATAGCAAGTAGGTCAACGTGGCGAGGTGATGCCGCTGTCAGCCCTGTTAGTCTTGTTACCACCTTTCTTCGCTGAAGCCGGCGCCTCTAACTAGATGATCCGAAGCTTAATTGGTTGCTGCGCTCCAGGACAGCAATGTGTTCATCATCCACTAGCGAGCCCCAGTTCTGGCATTGGCCATACGGCAAAAGCTCCAGCTGTCTATAGGATATAAAATGCCACTGCTGGGAAGGATGTTGCTGGCTGCGTTGTCAGTAATCACTGTGTAGGTGTTGAAGAATTTGGCGTCTGCAGTGGGGACGAGTTGGATTTCTCAACAGAGAAGTTGTGATGGTGCCTTATGGATACTAGACATCGTGTATAGCAGTAACAATCTGTTAAACTCGGGTGTGTACATCGTGTCTGAGTTCTACCTCGGCTTAAAGTATACGAGAAAGAAAAGTCTTACATAACGTCCCACACCCACTTCTGGGCACCCCCCACATTTGGGCACCCCATTTACACCAAAAACGCCGTTTTTCGAAATTCTATATTAAACTAACTACTATACTTACTAAGAAAAGAAAATATATATAAACTATGTTAAGTATAATTATAGCCATCTAATTTTTTATAAAGGTTTAAATATAATAATAGTTATAATATAGAAGTTTAAAACTAAAAGCTTTAAAATGTTAGTAGATACTAGTAACTTACTAGTATTCCTTAACATTAGAAAAATATATTTTCGCTTATATATACTTATTTAAAAAATCTAGGAAATTAATATTTATACTTATTAAAAGTATATAATTATATCTAAAAGAGATTTAAAAGTATTACTTTAGTAAATATAGTATAATTAAGGGTTAAAATTCTATAATAGAAACTTTTCTTAAGGGAAATTTTAAAATATTATTCTAAGCTTAAAGAATTTTTTACTAAGTATAAGAATATATAAATCTACTATATCTTACTTAAAAATTCTAATCATATTAGTTAAATATCTCTACCTATTTTATATATTAAGATATAGGCTAGGTAAATTAGTATTATAAATGTTAAACCTTGAATTTATAATACTTATTATCAATAATACTAGTATATAGCTACTTAAGTATTATAATTAAGTCTTAATCTATTTAACATATATTTATTCTCTTTAATAAGTAAAGTATTTAGTTTAATATAGAATTTCGAAAAACGGCGTTTTTGGTGTAAATGGGGTGCCCAAATGTGGGGGGTGCCAGAAGTGGGTGTGGGACGTTATATATATATATAGGATATATAGAAAATCTGTCGTGATGGCCATATAGCCCACAGTAACCATCTGGTAACTCTGGGTCCACTTTTACCACCACAAAATCACAGGTTACTTCTAGATAGAAGAACTATCTTATAGGTTATGTAGAAGGAAAATAATATAATAAGTATCTAGCTAAGATAATAAGCATTTATCATATAAAGTAAGCGCTCCTCCAGGTCTACCTTATAATTACTAGGACTTATATATAGATTAGGACTTAAGTACTGTAATGGTTCGGACCCCTGTGGGGCAAATATGACAGCAAACATAACTGACCATTGAGCCAAACGGCCCAACTATGCTACTTCGCAAAAGGTACGTAACACCAAGCTGCGAGCTTGTGGTTCTGCAAAGCTCATGCCATATAACCGGGCATAGCCCGTAACAAATACTTCCTCAAGCCCTCTTAAATAGTTCTTTAATGATTAACTTATAATTTATCTTTAAATAACCTTTAGCTTAGGTTATAGTTTATAATATTACTACTTCGTTACCTAGTATAAGACTAATTACCTTACCCTAACCCTCGATCTACGGAACCTACTATCTTAGTAAAATGACTTTGTTAACTTATTAGTCTTATGACCTTAACTTCTATTAGTAGAAACCCTACTATTGCGGCGGGAATGGGATCACTGTCAATTTCTACTGAATGCCGACACCATATCGTTGCATACAGATTATCAAACACTGAATGCAACGACATAGCCCAATGGAACAGAGCGAGACTGACATGACAGCTTAAAACATTATGTGCGTTCAACAATTACAAAACAAGTCGCTTCACAGCATAGGATGAGAGACTTTCGCTCTGATTGCAATTCCATTACTCGGCGCCATGCTTGGGAGGTAATCTGTTTCCGCGAATGTCATCGCAAGGAACGCCGCGCATAATGCGCGCATTGTTGAATTTTTCCAACCATCGCAGCAATCTTGGGGATTTTCTGAGGGTCTAGAACGGCTTTATGATATCTTATTTGGTCCTAATATACCTTTTGAAAATAAAAACTGTAGCGCATCTTAAGCAAACTCCAAACGTGGATGGTTTCGGGACCGTTGCGTACGCCGATCTTCGGTAGTGGCCCGGCACGTTAGCCGGCACCGAAGCAAGCGGGCAGACACATTCGGGACGGATGGGAATCCATGGGCTTAACATCAAATGGCAAGCTATAATACGTACAAAGAAAAAGTCAATCGACAGCTAGCTGGCAGGGCCTTAACTTGCCGGGCTAATACACAGGTTATAAAGATCAAGGCAAGCTTAGCGGTACGTGTGCCCTGTGACTATTCTGCGGACTACTGTACAAATGTCAAGGTTGATTCCCAGTTTCTTTCCAACTGCACTAAGTAGAGCCGACGAGAAGAAACGTTATATTACTTGTCACCTATTCGCTCAGTTCTACTCCGGTTGGAAAGCGATGCATTCGCAATTGATAGACAGCAACAGTGTCTCAACAACCTTTGCAGTGGTCTCAAAACCCGCCCCTGATCGCCATTATCTGAGGCAGAGTGAGCTTTTCTTGGTTGATTTGGGCCCATTTTGAGAGAGATTTTGGCACGAGTAAGTCGGCTGGGTATTCAATCGCTTTTTTGGGCAAGTTACCTTTTGCGGTTTCGCCGTTGCTATCATTTCGCGCCTCAGCTTCCTCAAGACTGCTTCATCTCATGTCATGCCGTCTGATTATTGCGAGGACGTCCTTGTCCGCCCCACGCGACGCAGATCATATGGTCCAATCATCGCGTTAAGTTGCTGCCCTTTGCCGTGTTTGCCTGAATTTTCAAGGTCCAACCTCAAACACTGCCGTCTGAACTTGTCGTCCCCCCAGTTCCTGAGGACTCTGTGGCGATCGTCCCACGCCTCAGAGCAGCCTGAGCTCGTTGATCTTTGGTATCTTGTCGGCTACGCATACAAAAGGCGGCCGCATCGCTTTCGACTTGGCAGAAAGTTCGATCCAATTCATCCTATAAGTCGTTCATTGTTGAGTTGAGCTCAAACTCTATCCGATCTACTGTCTCTTGTTTTTATCATTCATACCCACGTGTCAGTCTCTTCAATCTACTACTGTTTTCACGCCTTGGCATTCTTTCAACCAACCCACAGACCTTCATCCGAAGCTACTTCGTTCTGTCATCCATTCTTTGCTCCAAAATGCAGGCCAAAATTACCCTTATTGCGCTTCTCGGTGCCATCGGCGCTTCAGCTGCTACCATCAAGCGGCAAAACAACGGTGGAGGCGGCGCTGCCGATTTTGGCAAATGTACCCCCACGATGGACTTTCAACTTGGCCGTGCCGGACGCAAGGCCGACCAAGGCACTTTCCTACCTACCGACCCTCTCGTTGCAAAGGGCCAGCAGGATGCTTTAAATCCTGGCATCATCGCCAACCGTATCTGTGATCAGCTCACAAACGTTTGCGAGGCGAACCAGGCGGCCAAGGACCAATGTCAACAGGCCAAGTCTCAGCTTCAGGCCGCCGGAACCAAGGATGCGTCAGCTGCGACAACTTTCAACCAAGCTCTTGGATTCAACTAAGCAGTTACGGCTGATCTGGGGCTCAGAGGCTGGCTGGCACCAGGCTTGGGCACTGAAGGCAGAATTGCCTATGATTTATGGCCATTGGTCGTAGAAGTGGTTCGCTCCGAGTCGATGGCTCGAGCTAGGGACGCATTATGATACAACTGTTAACACTATAATGTGAAGTAGTGACAATGAAAAAAAATCATAACTAAAAGCCTACAATCCGTGACGATTTACTCCTTCAAACAGTGCATCATTTCGCTCACATGAAGTTCATTTTATCGCGCCAACGAAGTATGAGGAACCTTCACGCTGACGGAATATTGCGGTCTCTAGTGGTCATACTGGTCGGAATACCCTTCAGATTAAACTTACAGGCTACGGTCTCGTTCGGTTTTGCAAGGGGGTTTATGGAAAAAGCGTTAGGAGCACCGCGGAAACTGACCCACACCATCGTTCTTGAACTTCCCGTAAGAACCCCGAGAAACCACTTGTAGGTACGTATGGTCTTTACTATACGCATTATCTTAACAGCTGCCTGTCATGCGTAAGGGGCACAGGAAAGCACACTCTAGCTGGGTTTCTCCGAGTCGGACTCACCACACACACTGAACAGCACAGCGTGACCAATCATCTCCCACTGCACAGGATCTATACTTTCCTCATCCTGAATGGCAATGATTCCCGCCGCCCATGATCTTGTGGTGCACTTCATTTATTGCCTGCCAAAATCCATTCATGCGCAAGCTGGCCATCAAGGGCAAGTCCACGGCTTTATCTGCCAAAGCTGTAGCTAAATAAGAGATGAGTGAGTCGAATTTGAAAGGAATCAAGAAGCGTGTAGTTCTCTGTTAGTACATGCTAACTCTGCTATAGATTGAGCCACCTATACATGCTTCATATAATATAGCCCCTTCTCGGCAATCCTCAACAGTGTTCATCTGATTGATGACTGGTTCTGCAGAAGTACATTAAGTTTGATAATTTGCACTAAAAACCCCCCATGAAGAACCTCCATTAAGCTAGTAATGTTGCGGGGCAAAATAAGTCTTATGTTATGCGAGTTGGGACAGCCCTCTCTCTACATGCAAAAGCTTATACGTTCAGTGACGAGCTCCCTGGAAGTGTTTATTCATGCAACAGCAAAATCCTGGCAGCAGCAACGCGATGTGTATAAGAAGAGGTTTAGAATGACGACTGGTCTTGCAGAAGGAGTATTACTGGAATGGCTCAGCTGACTTCTTCATAATGCTCCCTACGGTGCATCTTGACCAACATCATGCTGGCTATTAGGAAAGAATCAAGGAAACAATAAATTTTATGACACAATGATGGCAAGTGTACATGATAGTTGCCACGGATTATGGCTTTTTTACCGTCCCAATGAATGTAGTCACACGATTAAAACCACGGGGAGTACGAAAATTTACTGGTAACGTGTCATTATAGCCATATTAACAGACTCGGCAGTCTAGATTGATGGGTGCGCAGTTCTTCTCTAAATTTGCCCTTACATACCTTCGCATCATCAATCACAACCATCATGCCATGCACTAAAATGTAGCTCAGCGCTTCTCGATAAAAGTTGAAAACGACCGCTCTGGAATCTTGAATATATTTTATTGTGTAAGATCGTTTTGTCCAGACTATGGCGGTTGTTGTAAGTTGGCTTAGTTGTACGTTGCACGCACGCAAGATGAGGTAGATAGATGATCGCCTTGTGTACAGCCAATTTGTACGCATGGTATGGTGAGCTTGAGCGACAGGATCCGATCATCATGAAACAGAAGCTTAGGCCGTTGTATTTGAAAGTTCCTCAAGACTCACACATGCAGCACTCGGTCTCAAGCAGCGAGTAAAGTGGACGCATAAGGAAGTCGGCGCGAGGGACTCAGAGATGGAAACAATTATGACAAATTCAGACACAGTACTTCCGCAGTTGAACAGAACATACCAAAATTTTCCCTTAAATAGCTAAGTTTTGTATTTCATGAAAAGCGAGCGAAGCAGAATTGCGTTGTTAAAATCTTGTGGTATGGTTATTCGTTATCGTCATCAGTGCAGGCTTACCGACTAATCAATCTGTGAATAAGCGATCACTGCCATATTTTATTAGTAGAACTATAATTTGAGCTAGTTTTGGAGTTGTCGAGAGTGTCTTAACAGGTTCGGTGAATATAAGGCGAGTTCCGGCATTCGGTTCTTTCCAAAGTGCCGAAGCCGATGATGCTCCGAGTCAGCCTTATTAACTATGATGTGTCGTCCCGACCTAGCCGAATCTTAATCTCTCTTGTTCGATTTACTATAAAAGGTAAGAGGAGCGTAGCGTTGGCATCAGATAGTTCGTAAACCACTCCGAATTGACGTTCATCCTGCGCCCATTTACTTCTGTTTACCCGGAGCCTTCGCGTCTAATTGTCGCAATGTTGCCGTCTTCTATCCTTGCTATCGCTCTTTTCGGCACTAGGTAACCCCAACAAAGTCCATTTTGTTCGTTGTTATTCGGGATTTGAACTGACTACCGAATCTTTGTCTACAGCTCATTTGCCGCGCGCGTGTTCTGTACCGATGCTGAACATCCATCAGACGCCAACCCCCATCAGTCACTCACGAGGAGTTGCTGTGGAAGTAATTCATTCTCGTCACAAACCGTATGAACCCGGATCTTTCACAATGCTCCCAATACTTTCTAATATGGTTCTTACCGTGTTCACAGAAACTTTGTGATACAGGCAGTAAATCGACCAACTCTTTCTGTAGCTGCTGCAATGGCAGCCAAACGGGTTGCGTCCATGTTGGATAATTACTAACAGATACCGGGCATTTCATATTAAAAATCATTTACGTTGTTACATTGTCAGTTCATTGAGAAAAAAATCAAATGCATTCAAAAACACTTTTGCGGGCTTGCCAGCTTCCGGAGTACTAGCGGCACCTCTGTGGTTATATCCCCATGCTGACGGAATGAGGAAAAGGGGGGTAGTAGTGTTAAATGCGGCATTGAAGATAAACAGAAGTGGATTTTCTTTTCTTTGCTTTCCCCCAGTAAGTGGCACTCAAAAATTGCCTGGTATCTTACAATGGCGTGGTCAAGACAAAGTTTAGAAACAATATTTACTACATAGCGCCTATGAAGTTCAAACGCTACATCTTAGAATAGGAAGCTCCGTAGAAGGTCTATAAATTCCAAAGAAGAATGGTTTATATAACAGCTACCTTTTATCTATTCGACGCTCCTACCAGCTCTGGATCTAGCCTTCTAAAGAATGAGACTTGCTTATCTTCTTATATCCAGCTTTCCCCCTACCACATTCAGTCTAAATACTGGGTAGCTATAAGTATCTACATTATATATTAAACCAATAGAAGTGCCACCTTAATCTGCACCATTCTCCCCCGAGATGGCCTTCTTCGCTTATAGATTTAGCTCCGAATATCCCGCATCTACGTGATCCATGGCATACAGTGCGCTGCAGACCTGATCATAGACCTTTCCCTCCTCCTCGACTTCAAGGTTCGGGATGCCCTTGAGCTTAATATCGAGCAACCTTGCCCGCCAAGTATCCCATTTCTGGGGGTTCCATTTGTCAATATTGACATCGGCGAGACTTTGGCGGATCCTACCCGCCGCATGGGTGATCCAGAGAGCAGCTACCAGGACCCTGGTTCCTGTGACAAGAGGTTGCGCAGCTGGATCCTTTTCCAGGCCGAGAGGAACATCCGTGCATGGGTATTTGAAGCCATCCTCATAGTGATCGTAGAGTCCGGCGGCGGTACATCTTGCAAGGAAAGCAGAAAAGTCGACCCAGATATCGCATTGCGCCTGCAAGACTTGTTGTGTCTCGTAGTCTTTGATAGTCGGTGGATCCTCCGCTGCAAATTGTCAGTCTGGATCATAACACGATCGAAAGGAGAGTCGTTACGGATAAATCCATTCCATCTGTCCTTCGTGGTACTGCCGAAGAAGGGGTCGTCAAAAAAAGCCGTATGAGTCCTCTGCATCCATTACTAGTCAATAAATCCTCATCAATTTCAAAAATGAAGACTGAGGCAACAAGCCGACTGACCCCCGAGATTGTGAATTGGACTGGTTTACTCGTCTTCCGCAGTTCCTGTAATAGGAGAACCAGTAGGTCTTGCTGGTAGTCTTCGTAGTTGACCAGCTTGGCAGCACCCAGAATGAGCTCATAGAAGCTGCTCAGATAACTGCCCATGCTCTTGTCATCTTGAACCCTTTCCATGGGGATCGAAGGGAGATACAGCTCCATATAGTCTGACCGGATGAGCTCTGCAGCTCGTTTCGCTGCATCAACAGCTTCCCCTTGTTTTGAAGAGAGGAGAGCCTGGATTATCGCAGGAAGGTGAGATTGAAACCCTTCTTCCTTGTTGTGAATAGCCTTTTCGTCGAGGTACAGGTCCCACGGCTCTGTACCGACGAAATGGTCGGGTGCTTGCTTTGGCGGCGTCTCCATCACGGAGGCGTAATGGATACTCTACGCGTGTTGGCAATCCAGACTCTCAATCAGCGAGGAAATCAGATGAACAAAGTACCGAATGGCAGTCGTCGCCTTAAGTTTGAGATGGGTTAATGTCAGAGCAAGCCGGCCTTGCGATCAGGCTGCGTGAGCGTGGCTACGCTCCAGACTTTCATCCGCCAGCCAGGGAACTATTAAAATGTGGGGGAATGGGTCCGCTGATCGAGGGGTTGTTGCGCGGCAATGCAGCGTCTCTCCACCGCCTGTTGGTCGGCTGCGAGATGCTTTTTGTAGATTCCTACCGCGCGATTCCTCTGTGAGCTTATCGAGATTGCATTTACCAACGTCCATGTGCCGCGTGCTTTCCGTCTTCTAGCCTGTTTTCGATTATTGAATCATTGGACCTTTTTGCCAGTCTATTTCAAGAAACTTATCTTACGCAGAGACTGCGTGACAGTAACATATTTGACAGGCGCGCTACCTCACCCACCAACATTGGCTTTGATGGGAAGTGGCAGCTCCAAATCATCGAATCCTCAGAGAAGGAATACGGACGGTACATAGAATGATCTGCTATGGCTCTTGTATTCCTTAAGCCGCGTCCATACTTATATCATTTGTATGTATGTACTAGAGTCCCATGCGAGCCGTTTTGCGGGACTCTAGCACGGCAGCGGGAGGATCAACATTGGTAGGAGCCCTGCAGCATCCGCCAGGTAACATGAGGGCATTTGAGAGAACACTGTTAGACGCGAACACATTCATTGAATAAGTAGTCTAAGATGTATCGCGGTATACGGTTAATTTTGTTGAGTCTATGTTGATAAAAGAGCGCCACATAATAAAACATTGAGTATGAGACAATTTTAAGAAAGTTGTGAAATGCACATCAAATCATTAAGTCCCCCCCCCCCCCCCCCCCCCCCCCTTCTGCCACCTAGTTATCCCCCCTCGCCGGCTACAACACAATGGGGACGTCCAGCTCGCAGAACGCATCGCCCGCAGGCAGCGTCCCGTTGATGTAGTACTGAGACGTCGCCTCAGCGGCACACTTTGACGTGCCAACGGAAGCGTGCTGCATTTTTTTTTAATACCAAAAGTCAGTTTTCGCTCTCACAACTCGCGACAAAAAAACATCCAACAAGAGGAGTGACTTACACCGTAGCCGTTGACGTGGAGCACAGCGCTACCCTCGAACGCTTCGCTCATGTTCCTGGCCGAGACAAGCGGGGTAAAGGCGTCGGCCGTGTTTCCGATAAACAGGATGGGGTGGCGCGTCTTCACCGCAAAGTCCCCAGAGTACTGCTCCTTGGCATTCAGCTTCCACTGGGCGCAAGCCATCTCGACCGTGGTCTGCACGTCTCCAAAGATTCTGCTGACGCCGTACTGCCTGTTCATGATCGGCAAGAACTCGTCGATGGTTTCCACCCTCGCGATCTTGTCGCCGCACTTGATGGTCAGCTGAGCGTCGACAGTGGCGCCGAGGGAGGCATATGATGCCCCCAAAGCAGTCCAGATGCGGTAGAAGACGGCGTAGTCGGCCGACATCAGAGCGTTGAGGCCGGCGTCTACGAGCGGCCGGGGCTGTAGAGCGAGGCCATGATTCCCGTCTTTACGATGCTGTAGTCTATCAGGGTGCCGTTGAATGGGATAGGGTTGACGTTGAGGTCGTCAATGAGGGCGTAAGCTGCCTCTTCCAGCTCGGCTGCGGTCATGTTCCTCTGGGCGAGGAGGCACTCGGATGGCTTTGCGACGCAAGATTTGAAGATGGCGCTGAAGGCCTTATCAGAGTCGGCCCATTGTTCGTCATCCCTTTGGAAGAGTCAGTCTAGTCAGTTCACTGGGTTATTTGCGGACGAGAGAAATTGTGCTTACTGGGCGTGGTAGTACTCATGACCATTGAGGTTTCCATCGAGAACCATCCTGTCGATTCTCTCCGGGAACATGGCAGCGGCGGTTTGACCCAGAAGAGTTCCGTACGATCCTCCTTAAGATGAAAGTCAGCACAGGTTGAAATGGGAAGCAGAAGAAGAGCAAGGCGACATACCCCAGTATCTCAAAAGGCCATCTTCACCAAGAGCATCGACAATCTGCATCATGTCCCGTGCAACAAAAGCAGTGCCGTACACTCCCCCGAGCTCCTTGTTCTTCTCGTAGCACTTGTCGACGTAGAGCTTGGTTGCCGCCCATAGTCTGCTGGGCGTGGAATCTGTTGATTTTGCCCAAAAGTATGGAGCAGCCAAGGAAGACCAGGCCTTTGGGTTATTAAGAATGACGGCGTTCCTCTCCGCTTCGTTCTCGAAACATGAGATTGGGATTGTGTTGCCGGTTCCGCTGTTGGATGTCAATAAAACCCCTCGAGCGGATGTTAGAGGCGGCAGAGACTTACCGTGGGTCAAACGTAACGAGGTCGTGATATTGACTGGTGGAGCTAATTGGAGTTGTTAATAATGACTCTTCTACGGGATTATGGATATAGTCTATAACTCACTTTCGAATGGACCCAGCGGACTGGACCAGCGAAGGTCTACCGGCGATGCTCGGCCCGCCAAAGTTGAACAAGATGCTTCCCTTGGATGGTTGGCGTGCTGCGGGGATACGTAGAAGTTGAAGCTCGATGGTCTTGCTGGAGTTGGGCTGGGTGTAATCGAGAGGGACCGTCAGGTTGGCGCACTGGATGGGTTCAGTGGTGTTGAACTCCGCACACTCGCTCCAGTTGATTTTGCTTTGGCCTCCCGAGCCTGCTTCGGCAGCTGCCCCATGAAGAAGGAGGCTAGCCTGCAGGAGAGGAATAATCGATAAGCGAGTCATCGGTGGTAAGTTGCAGTAAAAGCGGCAGATAAATGTGTTTGTGCAAAGTGAAATTGAGGGCGGTATCGTAGTTCTTGCTTGCTGTTGAGGGTTGTCAAGTGAAGTGAAGAATAAGGCACAAAAGTTGCCAGCGATCCAGGACCTTTTTATAATACAATTGAATTGATATCTCTATTCATTTTAAAGCTCGTCTTCTGACATATTTGATCATAGTCCCGCACCCTTTGGGGCTGTAATTCGCGTTCATTCCTTGGTGGTTGATGCCTACTAACAAATGAGTATGGACATTTACAACTGCGCCATTGCAATCAACGAGTGCTGCAGGAGGTCTGTAGTCTTAATAACCCTTTAGGGATATTGATCAGCAGGGCTGTGCTGCCTGGTAATTGCGGGCTCAGTATGCTTCGTATACAGCCAATTGCCTAATCGGGAATGCCGGGGCTCATCTGCCGGGAATTAAATCCCAATCCTCGCCCTAACTGGCTATTGAAAAGCTTAAAGACTACCAATAAACCGTTCAAATGCGCCATAGCCCGTCCTTGGGAATGCAGGTCGCCCTGTTGCCCGACTATATGAAGGGCTTAGAAAGCCTTGCGGCTTTGCGGTATGACGATGGTGTTGGACTCGTAACAGACTCGTCATGCACCAATCTCCTCTAGAAAGGGCCATCTTTCTCCCTCGCAACAGGACGAGTGAGGATGCATCACCATACACCTTATTTCTACCCATGTTCAATAATTCAACCCGGCTAATGCGAGTCATTCGTCGTTATTCTCGAGCGACTTTTTTCTGTTTGTCTATTAAATCCTCCGGTGGTGGGTATGCAAACCGGCCACTCCGTCTCGGCCGGGATTACCAGGTGAAAGGTAGGACAGGCCGGCTGTCAACGAAAGGAACCCAACTCTCAGCCCGCTTATTTACAGGACCAAACTTCGGCACCAGCCTGCCACCAAGCTTGAAAGCTCTCGCAGTCGGTAGCATCCACTCATTCAGCACCCGAGACCCAAGCTGGCGGTCCTCGGCTTTGAGTCGGAATCAGCTTGACATTGCGGGATCCGATGCCGGTCAGAGGGGCACTCTGCACTTTGTCCCAAAGAAAAGGCCCCCACCTCCACACGTTCCGGCAGAACCCGCAGGGTGGGCGAACGATGCACTAACGCATGCAAAGTAGCGCATGCAACGTCCTTCGCAGACACGTCAGAATTCGGGAGAGGTAAGGCAAAGATGCAGCCCTGACAAGGAAGGAAAAAAAAAAAAAAGTCTGGTTTCCAATCAGGTAACGCGGAATGACAACCCGACGGCGCGGAAGGGGAGAACCTTTAACGAACCCGATCTGTTGGATTCCGGTCGGGTAGCTCAACTGTTGGGCACAAAAAGAGAGAGGGGGAAAGATAGTAACGGTAGGAATATGTGGAGAGCGAGAATGTCGGTCTGCAAGAGCATGTCTTGGTTCATTTGAAAACTACTATGTTGACGCCATCACCAAGCCATGTTCTTTTGAGGATAGCAGTGATGGCGGTGGCGGTCAAGGTGCGATCGCATGGAATCGCCATCGATGCCTCAAAATTTTAGATGAACAGATCAACGATCAAATACTCAAGGGTTACTTTAACCTCATTGTATTCAATCTCGCGGGCCCATGTCATGTGGGGAGAGTGAATTCTCACCGCTACTCGACATCGACATAAAGCTCCACTCATACATGCGTTGCCTCGCAACTATCTCATCCTGCTAACCTGTAGCCACGCTGTTCCGCAATAGGAACGAGTCGTGAGAAAAACCTCCACTGTAAAAAAATCAACCCCGAGGTGTCCGATGTGGCAAATGCCATTCGTGACAACGCACAAGCCAGCTCTGCACAAACAGCCGCAGATATACCTGGCAATGACAATAATGATGATGACCATAACCCTCTAGATGCGAATCATGAACGCTATCGCAGGCCGTTGCGATCAATGCAATAACAATTAAGCGAAAGATGGCGCCCAAGGAATGCGTGTTCCTTGGTTCGGCCCCGCTTGTTCCCATGCTGGTTAATGTTTCCCTGTATAACAGCCTGTCTAATGATCCGACTGAAGCATGCAACGCTGATAAAAAAACAAACGCCGGTGTACCCAATGCCAGAGGTAGGACGGGTATTGGAAGAGGTGAGGAAATGAAGTGCATAAGTCGATACATGGTGTCCGAGACGGAGACGATGAGTCGACGTAAAAAGGGTATGGAATTCGAGCGCTTGCGAAGGGTATCGTGGTTGAGGCAGTCTATACCGAATGAAATGATATAGAGAAGGGTGCGCTCAGTGCTTCTTGTCGGAGCCAGTTGCGTGTTGCGCTGACTGGTGGTGGTGATGGTGCTTGTGGGAGGAGTGATGCTTACGGACCTTGGCAATGTTAGTTATAATGTAACTCAGGCAAGCTGGAGTGAGATATAGTGTAACATACCCTCTGGCGACCGCGATGCTCCTCCTCATCCGAAGAGCCGTTGCTGAGACGTCTCCTCTCCTCCTCGTACCAGGTGCTCAAAGATTTGCCGCCGAACATGAGGTCATCATCCTCGATGATGGTGGCTTGAATCCAGCCTTGCGACGCAAGGTCGACTTCTCTAGCGTTGGGGTCCATGCTGTTCACGTTGGGGATAACGTAGTAGTACTGGTCTTGTGCTGATGACATATTGTGTGGAGTTGTGATGGCGGCTCGGGGTGGATTAGGAGGCGGGTTGAAAGAGTTGGAAGATGGGACGGAAGTAGTGGCTCCTTTATGCTTGTTTGTGTTTCCGCAGTGCGCGTCAGGCTTGATTTCGCGTAGATGAGGTGCTTGGTTGGACTGTTTTGAAGAGGCCAGGATGATCGCGGTGGGTGGTTATTTCGAGCGTTTATTGTAACAGGGACCCTTGAGTAGAGGTGTGTGGTACAGGCTGGCCGGCAGGGAGGTCTGGAGCGCCCAAATCGAGATGACGGCGGGAGATGGAGGGGCCTGGACGAGGTGACAAAGAAAGCAAAGACGGGAGGGTGTCGGATATCCAAGGGTCCAAAAAGAGAAGCTTAGGGAAAGCTCTGATTTCTTTGTCTTTGTTATTTGGAAAATCGGCCTGCCGGTAAAGAGGGGGCAGGGCAAGACAGCGCTAGGCGGCTGGCTGGATCGTGGACGGCAGAAGTCGAGAGGTATGAGTGTGTGAGTGAGATGGTGAAGGCTAGATGGCAGTGCCGGCACTAGTCGAAAATGGTTGTTTCTGTTGAGTGGAAATGCGGAAGCGGAGGAGGAAGAGGAAGAAGATATTCGGGAGGAAGCCGTCGTGACGGACGAGATGCGGACGGCGGCTGGGTTAATATGGACGGCGAGAAGTGGGATTTCCAGGTTGTGGATTGTGGGAAGGTGCGCACAAGGCAGGCACAAGGCAGAAGCAGGTGCACTTCCCCCGTATTATTTTCAGGTTGCTCGCGTGGCGGGAAGGTGTCGGGTTGCGAAAGTGCGCAAGGAGGGAAGGAGAGGGAGGGGGGCAGGGGCACAGGGGGTAGGCTTAGGGGTGGGCAAGAGCAGGGGGGGTGCCAGTCCGTGCAGACACACCTTTTAAGAAAGGGCGGACTGAAGAGTGGATTACGGTGGAGACGGATTGGGTGTGGCGTTTTGTGGGCCCCAAAACGGAGAGATGAACGGGACGTGTTCTTGGACGGTCGCTAGCGACTTCCGTATAGGTCACAGAGCGGGAGGCAGTGTCCGTCTGTACCGTAAAACTTGTACTCCGTACGGCGGCAATCAATTAATTTGTGATCCGTAAAAAGCGCCAAATGGTTGACGGATAGACGACAAGCAGACAGATGGCCGACAAAAAAGGTACTATGCAGATGCAGAGGCGCCAGATTTCGGTGACTGACTCTGGTCTGCTGTGTCGTTGTCTCAAAAGACGAAGGGGGAGAAGGAAAAAAAGACCTCACAGAGTCGTCTTTTGCTTGTCAGAAAGGCGGAGAGACAGGGGATCCAAAGAGGCTGACTGAGATGTGTGAGTCTGCAAATGAGATGCAGAATGCTGCCACACCTGGATTGTATTGGCGGATATTGCTGCTGAGGCCGCTATCGATGTTGCCTGTCGACCTGATCTGAGCTGAGAGACGAAAGGACTGGTGTAGAGTCACCGCTTAGGCCCGTCAGGCTGGATGGATGGGATGAGATGGCTGGTTGGGGGCTTTCCGGAACGGGATAGGTACTTGAACGGTACCACCGACTTCGGTCGTGACGATAGCTCCCGCAAGCTTCGGTAAGGCCTAAAGCAATAAAAGTGGCTGTCGAAGCTTTGCTGGGAGCAATGAGCCGAGCTGTCAGCGTGGATAAGAGCAGGCAGGCAAGCCTAAATGGGTTGCGGAATAAGGCTCGTTGTCGGTCTGGACCCTGGGGCTTTCGTGGTCTGAAGGGTCTGGATCGTGTCCGATAACGAGGCAGTTGAGGGGTTTGAGTCTTTTTTTTTTTCTCCCGCTCCTTTCTTTTTTTCTGGCGCTTGAGTGTCTAGCTCTAGCAGCCAAATGAGCAAGCAAATACTCAGCAAGGGGTGATGGTTATCCGTCGAGAAGAATGTCGTGACCAATGTTAGAGGTGACAATAATGTGTAGTACGTATGTGCGAAGACGAAGGGATGTATGGACACATAAACGTGTAGAAGGTGGGTAACTGGACAAATACGAGCTTGTATTTCGGATTTGCTTCGATATTTGTTTTTTCGCGTAATTATCAGCTTCCTTTTTTTCAAGCTTTCTTTCTTTTACTGATGGCTTGCTGCGTGTATAGCTTTACAGCTGTCAAAAAAGGATCAAGAAAGCACAACAAAAAATCGACAAAAAAAAAAGTGAAACTGATTGGGGAATTTGACCGATCACTATCACGACCACTATCGCAAAAAAGGCGGAGCTACGACTCTTTTATTCTAATCTACAGGATTGCAGATCTATGCTTGACGAGCAAGACATGTTGAGCAAACGATGGCAGTATATCAAGGAGGCGAATCGCCAGGAAATGACACGAAAGAACGCGACTGGACACGACACGACAAGATATGATAACATGTCGGACGGTGCGACAGAGGCCATGCCGAAGACTGCAGCACTGATACAGATGGATGCAGCGTCCAAAACCAGGCGGTGGGCGGCGAGTAATGACGCGGGCATCTCGGTGTCATGAAGGGCAAAGCACCGTCGTAACTGTCACTGCTAATGTCACTGTTACAGCGTTTCTTGTCAAATGCTGCTGCGACTGCCGTCAGTGTGTCGATGTCACTGCTCGAAGCCCCCGCAAGAAGGGCATTAATGTACACTGTCGCCCGGCCCAGGTGGCGAGGTACAACCGTCCCGCCGCCCGATGTGCATTCTACCCATGCCACTTCCAGTGCTTACGTCCCGCACTGCCCCAGGTTTTTCCGCCTTGGGCAGTGCCCGTTTGCTTTGGGAAGACCTGTGTCTCCCCCCTCTAGTGTAGCTCCTTAGGCGGGATTCAGGCTTGTGAAGCCCCCAGCAGGACGGGGCAAAATGGGGCAAGGTAGCCAAGGGCCCTGGGCAAAACCCTTGGCAGAAGGAGGAGGCGTAGAACCTAGAGGGAAGAGGAGGCCGCTGTACCGAGCTTGTTGCTCTGCTGTTACCTTGGGGCTCCATAGCTGTTTCTAGTAATTGGCAATTGAAAGCCCATGTACGAAATGCTTGTACTGTTTGACTGCTCCCTCTGGAGGGGCCACAGCTACGGCGCCTCGGGCGGGTTTTTCGGGATTAGCTGGCTGACTGTGCTTCCGTCGACAATTCTAGTAGGTAGGTAGGCATATTAGTAGAACGGTAGATGATGAAATTTGGCCACTGGAAAAGCAGACGGAGCTTCCAGAGTGGACAGAATACGGATTGGATGAGACGGGACGGAACTTGAAAGTACAATATCCGACGGTCCAATACGGTTGAGTCGGCTCCTCCTCGAGCTTTACGGATAGGCACCGGGTACGTACTCCCAGGTTCTGCAAGTTTTCAGTCCCCTTATTGCAGGGCTGCACCAGCAAGTCCCACCAGTGTCTCCATCAAAAAGATGGGGGAGCGACGCACGGCTCATCCTCAGCTTTGACCAATTGATTAGCCCACTTTCGCCGTCTCACTCTCACTTTTTTTTTTTTCAGTTTATCTCCGTTCCTCACCCGCAACTATGGATAATGTTGAATCATTTCTCGCTGCAGCTCTCCATCAAAAAGTGACTTCCAATATAGTCGATCGCCCGTCGTTTTTCTTTTTCTTCCCAGCTCGCAAATCTCACACCCTTTCGCCCTGTTTGAGCGCATCCTCACCAGTTGAGGTGTTCATGTCTTTCAAGAGTCGCCGATCATTACAAGCTTCAGGCCTTGGCTCTACCCTTTTCGTCCACCACACCCTCATTATCATTGAGCCTCGAAAAATCCTGACAACCTGACTCGGGAAACTGATATGGGGAGCGGTGAACCGCCTCTTGTCCTTGTTGCGGAATATGACCGACAAAGGCGTGTCAAAAGTGAGACGGAGGAAGAAACATTCCAAACATCCATAAACACCATCTTCAACTGAACCTTTGCCGTTGGAAACCTTGCTCGTACATTTTTACATTGACTCCTCCGACTTAGGGATACAACAGGAGCACACGACACAGTTATCCGGTAGACAAGCATATGGATGGGAAGGACGGCACAATCTCCCCTCTATTTCAGCCTTGGCTTTGCCCCTTGGTCCGTGGCCTGTGTCGTCAAACTGCTCCTGATCCTGGCCTTGGCGGGCTGTGCAAAATAGGGACAAACCCTGCACTGAGCAACGAGCAACGGACACGATCCGTAATGGGCCCTGAAATATTGAAATGAATATGGAGAACCTCGGATGACGACCATGGAGACATATCAAACTGGAGACCGCCCCGGGGGCATCAAAAACAGTTTGGCGACATGCGCTGATTGTCATTTCGCATTTGCGCGCCATTCGGGGGGCAGACGCGCATCTGCTGCGCGACATCAAAAAGTGAACAAGTAATTCCACCTGCAATCCATCTCAACCCTTACCCCAGTATGCGTACAATAGATCGACGCCTTGGTTTCTTGTGTCGCCATCCTCGCACAAGGGCATCTATCTGGTCGACGTCCTTGGCCGCCCAAGCCGCTGAAGCCACCGACTGTCTCTGTTCCCCGGTCCGCCCTGGTCTCGGCGCCATCTTTTCCCCTCCCTCTCCATTCATGTCGTTTGGCCCCTCAAATTGATATCAAATCATCAGAGCGCCGCGCGCCGAGTACTGTGCAATCGCGATTACAAGAAACATGGGATTCCTATTTGGGGAGACGGGGCCAACACTGAGAATGTCCACCAGTCGCACTAACCCATTTCTAATCTCAGCCCATCCCGCCATTCCGCCCATCTCAAATCTCGCCATGCATGTCAAAGAAGAAAGTCGGGCCATCTTTCGCTGTGCTAGTAGCCTGGTACTAAGTTTCGGTATCTCCTATCCGAGACGGATGGCGGCCTTTTCACCCGTAGGCGTATGCGTTAGACGACATTTATCGTTGTCTCTTGTACTGGACGCTATTCGAATAGTGCGAAATCATTCCGTTATAGTAAGATGTGCCCATTCTCCGTCGTCTTGGGGTTGCCTGTTCCGTCCAGCATAGCCCAAGGCCTATCTCAGAAGTATTGTTACATTTGGGAGCTTATACAGCGGTCGTTGATTCCCGCCAGGCTGGTGGTAGGGTAGGACGACAGCTGGCCGTGCTTTACTCTCTGCCTTAGCTGAGCCTTGCATTTCTTTACAGCCCATTTACACACTATCCGCTACTGTACATCTGGTTTCTGTCACTCAGGTGTCACCCCATCGGGGGCCCGACAAGCAGGGCTGACGGGCGGACGGCATTCAGGTAGCGATGTTAACCTTCAACAATATAGGCTTTCGCAGCCTTCATCTTCGCGTTGGGCCGGTGGAACGAAAGCATATGGTACGACAGATTACGATGCGACCAGTCAGCAGCGCCCCCAAAACTAAATGGCATCACCAGTCCCAATGTGTCATCCTGGGCACGGCCTTGCACGACCCAACATTTGCTCACGTTTCCCACGTTTTTTTTTGTTGTTGGTCGTCGGCGGAGGACACCGCATAATAATTTGGGGAGGTTCCAAGGCTGAATACCACAGAGACGTCTTACGACCAAAGTCACCTAATCGCGCTCCTCGGGGTTGATTCATTTCATCAGATGTTTTGATGTAACCATCACTTCTCAAAAAACCCCACCCCTCCTCACCATTTGCGTGCAGTGTCGCAATCAACGGTAGCCGCGGGGGTTGTCTTTTGCCATGGGCCTATTTGCCCACCATCCAAACATCCCGATACTGCACCTCCTGCCCGAATAGGTCAGCAGGCGAGCATCGCGACAATATTACGGCAGCACCGCCCGCCCGCTGACCTAGACTTTTGTAACGGTCCGACAACCGCATGCCAACCTCGTGACCTTGCGCGCCGGCCAAGTCAGCCGCGAATTCTTTTTAAAACCGTCCAACCACACTCCGCAGCTGCAATACCTTCACGGAGCAAAGGTCAAAGATGTACCGGCGTGCTCAAAACGGTACGGGGCATGTTGGTTCGGCCACGCAGAAAGGCGATGGCTCGGCCGTGAAACGCCGGCCCGTCATGGAATCACCAGCCTCCGCCGGACAAAGGACGCGCGCGTATCGTTGCTGTATCAGGGCTAAACTGGACGGACTAATCTCACAAAACCGCTCGTCTCAACAACATCGCCAACCCGCCCTTGTGGCTGGTGCTTATGCTTACTGGAGATAAGTACTTCACTGCAACACGTCGTGCGTCCGTCACCCCCCCCAAAAGTCCCCAAGAACGGGATAGATCAGGTGTGCGGGTTACAGTGGGTTCCGTACATCAGGGTCTTTATGTGGCCGGGCGATCGATCGCTTACTTTCCCCCGCCTTTTCGGAGGGGACCTTGCACCGAAGGAGGAGGGGGTTTAGTTCAAGGTGCTGCGGGAGCATCTCACAGTAACACAAGTGAGCCTGGAGAACGATAACCCGTATTGACCGTAATGGAGGGGGGCGTGCTCGGTGTGTTCGGCGCCATTTCACCGCTTAGCGTGCCTCCCCCTCCGGTCAGTATTCGTAGTTTATCAACAAGCTTACAATCTATACTAGAGACGCAGGGATTGCGAGCAAGTTGAAGGTGAGGAGGAGGGGGAAGCCAGGATAAACAAACCGTTTTGCCGTCGTAGGAGCCTTCCGTTTGGTCCCAACCAACCGAACCGTATTCTGGCCTAATCTCTTAATCATGGACTTTTAGTCTAAAGTAGGTGACATGACTCTGAAGGGTTTGATGGCACGTTCATGATCGTCCCAATTATGCCAACTTTCCACGCGAGCAAGCGCATCTACGCAATTTTTGACTAGACATTTTTTTTTTCCTGAGTAGCTTTCCACTCGGGCATTACCGAAATTTTCGCCTTTGCAACGACTCAGTCGCCAACATTGTATCATCCCATATGAAACGGCCTGAATCAGTCACTGCCGGATCTTCAACAACGCATCAAGCACATCGCGGACTGTGCCCGTCGGCTTTGACACCGCGGGTACTTTGTCCATGCCTTCTTTTTGCCTCCTCCGATTCTCGGCAGCAAGGAAAGGACTTTAATATTTTTTCGAGGCCGCGGCAGAAAGGTATTTTCTTCTCATTCTCATGGATATATCATGGAAAAATCAAGTTGTTGAGTCACCAAACATCTCGGGCCAATTCCGGCATGCATCTTGGCGTTTCTTCGACGGCGTTTCTAGAATGGATATGATTGAACCGTTGGCTTGAACAAGTGTCTCGCCCGTTTCTCTTGGCGTATTCCTCCCTCATCCCCCCCGCACCCAACCGTTTGCAGAATTCCATCCCGAGGTCTAAATCACCCTCCCCCCTCTCGGAGGACAGGCAGGAAGGCAACTAGAGCACATGCCGCCGCTTGTCCGGTCACTTGTCCATGCCGGCGGCTCTCCTGCCGTGAAAATCCAGGTTACGGTAGACGGCACCACCGCTTTTTCCAACCCTCCCTGCTTGTTTATTTTGCGACGGGCCGCGCCTGACGACAGGCACAATACTGTCGGTGACGAGGGGGTTACACCGCAATCGCGCGAGGGCAGGGTTTTTTTAGCGGTCGCACATGTCAAAAAGGATCGTCGATTTTATTTTGCGGCTTATCGCCCTTTGTAATCACCTGGATGCGGGAAGTGACCAATGTTCGGTGTAGGAACGGGGATCTAGGATTCCTGGCGACGGTCACGAGGCCCCGCGCAGCCTCGCCTGGGTCAACGTAAATAGACGACACATGTCGACGGTAAAGTAAGCATGTTCAGGATATACTACGTAGCAGCAGTAAAGGCAGATGAGGATTACACACTCAGGGGTTGTTAACGGCCGGTAGCTTGGTCAGTGTTTGACGGTCGCGAGTTGTGGGCATGGGGCCCGCATGACGATGCCTTGCCGGCCGGTCCAGCAGCGAAGGGATTGTGGCTAGTTCCCTGCTCGACGTGGCCCCCTAAAGGAAGATGAAGTCTGATACAACAACCCTCCTCCACCTCTACAGATGACACTTGTGTTACTGGAAACAAATTCTGGGCATCATGTTTTATGCAAGCCTCACTCCTTGGCGGCGAAAATAATCACTGTTTGGATTGCTTTACGCTGCTGCCTCGGTCTTTTTTTTTTTGGCGGCGAAATCATCTCCTCGGCGCATTCCTCACGTTGGCTGCGGCCACACGACGATCATACACTCTTCGAGAAACCCTTCGCAGAGTTGTACAAGATCTACAAAAAAAAGAAGGGGCAGTAGGGGGCGTGAAGGGAAACAATGAAGCGGCCATGTCATGTTCCTATGCTCGGCTTTCCCAGTCCAAGCCCTTGGTTCGGCCGTGCAGATACTCCCTTCACTTTAAAAACTATCATAAGTGCATCGCTACGTAACGGAGTACAAGGGGCGGAAGGGATGGGGAGCCAAGTGGCCAACTTGCGCCGCAAAAGGACACAAGAAGCTTGCATGGCGGAGCCGCTCCGTCGGGCCAATGATGCGGAAGTAGTGAGACGGCGCATCCGCCGAGAGAGAGTCGGCCATGTTCCGCAGGCGATGGGCGATGCGACGCGGCAAATGCTTTTGCCGTATTGAACGGGACGGACGGTGATGGGATGGTGGAGAGACTGCCTTACAAGGCGTGAGGGTTCATTTTAAGGCACACACACACACACCAGGAACCATCGTAACGGAAGTCTTGAAAAGACAAAAAGATATCATAAACGGTGACAGGGACAAAAAAAAAAAAAAATGTGTGTCAGGTTTGCCACGAGAAGGATTAAACAGCATGTCAGAGACGCGGCGCAAAGGCCGGCGTCGTGGCCATGACGTCAGTGCATCGGAACCCGATGATGTTGATGGAGGGGAAGAATGGACATGGTAAAACTGCCCCGCTGCGCGAAATGGATCCCAATTGAAAGAGGAGGGGAGGGGGGGTTCGAACCATGCCGAGCCGCGGGCCGGGCAAGGACACTGACGGCATAACGTCTTGGTGTCCCGCTCTTGGAGCGACGCTTTCAGGGTTTTCCTGTGTTACTGTCAAAGTTGAGGCGGCGGAGATCACGGTGAGATGACATCAGTGCAACGAAGTTTAACGACTGAATCTTCGTTTCTTAATTTTTTTTTCTTCTCTTCTGCAAGAATATTGTGTTCTAGGAAGGGAGGTACCGTGGTACACAAACCCAAATATGTCAGTTGAATGCAGCGGGATGCGAGGAACCCGGATTTCTGGGAAGATTTGACGGGTCTGGGGGTGTGAGTTTATTTGGTAGATTACGTGCCATGGGTTTGATTGACTAGCAACTACTGGCTGCTGTTTGGCTGTGTGCGCACTTTAAACTACGTTCCTGGTGCGATTTGCACGATGGCAATGTATGCCACATGGTTGAGGGTTTACAAAAAGAGTTCTGCCGACGATGCCCCCACGTCACCGATTGCTGATCACGCTACACAATGCGACTCCTGTGAAATGCGCTAGGCCGGGACGCACTAGGAGGGGACTGGTATGGAGAGGTTTGATGGGGTCGCCTGGTGTGGTTTACTACAGATTAACTAGATTACTAGAGGCAGGCAAATGCTGTCTCGTGATGAAGACGGCGGTGGGCGGTGCTGATACTGAAGATCGAAGTGCATCTTGACCAGGAATGGAGCTGCGCGGCATTGATGGAGGATGAGGCGTTCCTGGCTTTTGACTTTGCATCGTGATAATATTAGTAGGATCGCAAAGTAGGAAGAAAGCAAGAGAAGAAAAAAAAAGGGGGGGTTGTAACGAACTCGGACCAAAAGCTCCATTGCGTGAGGCAGACAATTCATGCATTCTCAGGTCCATCTGCAGCGCAAACGCGACGGAATGCCCGAGGCCGTGCTCCTGCGCGGTTGAAACGCCAGAACCTTCCGTGGAATCTGTGCCGAATCTAATCGGCGAGGGATCGAAGAAAATCACCAGCTTCGATGTCCAACGGTGCGGACGATGGCACGAGGCCGTAGCCAAGACAGAGACGGAATGCAAGTTTAATGGTGCCCGCCTGTTTGCCCTGGTTTAATCTAGTCGGAAAGTTCGGCAGCCGGAATCCCTACAAGATTCCAACATTGTCGGCGACCTTCGGAGCCTGATTCCCAAAGTGGGCCCGACGAGCGGATCCGACTACGCGGGGGAGTGGGGGGGGGGGGCCGGCAATTCTGCGGACCCGCTTTACCGTCGGAAGAGACGGTACTCTCGAAACTGACGGATTCAACGGCATCATCGCAAGTTTGTGTTATTTTTGGATTCGAGGATCTGGTTCTAGCTCCGTTTCTTTGCATCTTCGATGTTTCGACTCGGTGCTTTTACTGTATCCTGAGCGTGGTGACGATCCCCTTGCAGGGTCGGATGTCCGATGCTCGAGCACGCTCCCGCCAGCGGGAGGCATGTCATAGTTTCGACTGTTCGAACATCAGCCGCGCGTCACCTGTATAATCCGGGGTGGACTGCGGGTTGACAAGACGATGCAATGCGTCGCGAGTTGTCTGAGTATCAGGTTTCGGTTGGTGGTCTTGTTGAAACCTGCTTAGATTACGCGGTTTACCGACGAATGGCGGCGATGAGCTGCCCATTAACTTGCTGGGGAAAAGAAATTTGTATCGAGGAATCGAGGAATTACTCGCTTTTGAGGACTCGTTTCTGGAAACTAAGCTAGGGCAAGCTGATTCAGATGACAATATCCTATGGGTGAATTGTCTCGTGTTGGGCGAGTGCTTCGAGCAATGGAGTGGGAGGGGCCAACCATAGCATCAATACAGATACTAAGCGCCTGTGCGTTGCGCAATGCCCTCTAGGCGAGAATGGCAGCAACATGCTCGTATGATAAATGTCGGTAGACCGCCCAGTCAAGTGAGATAGACGGTCTATGGACGTAGCGATGAAGATAATTAACAACTAGTCCAACCGGCTATGCCTCCGTGTCGCATATAGTGATTCTCAAGATGATTACCTATAATTCTGATACACCGTTTCGCTTTTATCAAGCCTCGAATTATTCAACAGTTCAGACGCAGTACATAGCTTGCTATAAAGCTCATATGATCATGACCAAAACGCTATACCTAAATGACATGACATGCGGCTCGCTCCGTGCATGGGGAAAAAAGGAATAGTAACCGAGGAATCAAGTCTCGAAGGGTTATGGGCCTTTACTCCTTCTTCTCCTCCTTGCCATTGTCCTTGGATTCGGACTCAGAATCGTCCTTCTTCTCAGAATCGTCCTTCTTCTCAGAGTCATCCTTCTTCTCAGAGTCATCCTTCTCCTCCGAGTCGTCCTCTGCATCATCCTTCTTATCAGCGCCCTTCTCTTCCTTGTTGTCCTTACCCTTGGATTCACCCTTCTTACCCTTCTTTTCTTCCGCCTTCTTTTTCTTCTCCTCTGCCTTCTTCTTCTTTTCCTCTTCCTCCTTCTCCTTCCTCAGTCTCTCCCTTTCTTCTTCCTCAAGCTTGGCCCAGTTTCGAGAGATATCGCTCTTGCCCTTGTGCATGCTCTGGGCTAGTTCCTGACCGATGTGAGGCTGGGCGTTTCCAACCTTAGTCCGACCAACCAAGCTGATGAAGATGGAGATGCCAACGATTGCTGTCAGCACGAAACGGTAAGTACCATACCACGGCGGGGTCCAGCCCTTGTTCTTCGCGCGTGTGTCGGCAAGGTAGAGGAAGGTAAAGGCGGCGAATTGGGAAGTAAGGGCATATTCGATTGGCATTAGGAGCGTGGGCCAGGCCAAGATGGGTGCCAGAACACCCATACCGTAGCGGAATTGCGTCCGCGCCGGGGAAGGAGTCTTTTCAGCGTATTCCATTCCCTACAACAGTTAGATGAAACCCAAGATCATTGGTCAACTTGCTTACCCAATGGACAGCGCCCAAGAAGGAGATGATGACAGCGCCATAGCCTAGCTGGATAGGTTCCAGCAGATTCAGCCAGTACTGCGCTGACTCTTGGTTCATGTAGATATTGTTGACAAAGGCGGACGATGATGGCCATTCAATGTTGAGGTCCCAACTCAAATACATGGTGCTCAGCGATGTCGCAAGATAGGGAAGGGTTCCGGCGAGACCAAGCGCATACGGCTCTCTAGGCACTTCGTTGAGATTGAAAGTATCCTTGACAATATTCTGCCAGGCATTTGTTAGCATTGAAAGTATAGCTCCATGGTAGACTCAGCTGTACCAGTTCTTTTTGCAACCCGCCAGAAAGGTCGGAGTCTACATTGGGATTCGCAGGCGCAGGTTCAAACACCTGACGCGTTGTTGATTCCGTCGAGACCTCATCCGGACGCGCTTCGAGCTTCTTCTTTGCAAGCTCAGCCTCGGCCTTTTTGTCAATCTTGTCGTAAGGCGAGTTTGTATAGCGCGCGACAAGTGACAAGGGAGACAAACGCGCCTGGAGCGCTACAGACGGTCGCTTCAGGTTATGAATGGCGTTTTGAGAGGCTTTTGTGGATGCCGAAGCAGAAAACACCGAAGGCGCTGCTGGCGAGCGCTGGGTGAGGCGCAAAAGATGTCGCGAGGAGCGAAGCATTGCGAGGGCTTGGGTGGGAAAATTGATGTGCTTGAAGATGTGTTCGAGGGTATTATCTGGGCTTGAAATGCCAATTGTGTCCTCAGATGGCACTGGATTGCAACGAATTCCTCTAGGTAATCACAGGGAGGATGGGTTCTAACGGGTAACGGCTGGCTTTGGAGATTGTCTACGCCAAGTGTTGGGGATCAAATATATTTTTCTGGCCAACAACCTACGTATTGCTTCAGATTGATGTAAGGCAAGACCATCTAGACCCAATAAACTGACATGGGAGGACCAGGGTAGGTTCCGTTTCTTCCCAGCTTCTCCAGCTTCCAAGAGCAATAACAACGACGAAGCGTGCGCACCTGCTGCTATAGCTCCAGCTGCCGGTTAGTGACGTAATGCGGAGACCTCGCCCTTGTTCACGCCCGGGCCAGAGACTCCGTATTGGACGAACCAGCTGCTTGTTGGTGGGGAGTGCCGCTAGTTAAATTGTGGCCCAAGCTTCACTACGTGCTGAGTCTGTGCTGTTCCCGAGGAAGTCACGATGGTAGATGCACCTAGTGACTGGTGAGCGCTGAAAAAGAGTAATAAAAAAGATTGCTATAAGAATTAAGTAAAAAGAAATTAAATTAAATTTTATCATACTACTCATAGTTATATGCTTTTTCTTAGTGTATTTCACAAGGCAAGAGAAGAACATGTGAAGCTCACCTTCCTGGACAGACAACCAAACCCGCTGTCGCTCTAGCCTAATTTAGCAGCAGGTCTGGTAGACCCACCCCTCCGTGGCTCAACGGCCCCCAGCGCCACAGCTGACGGCCTGTTTTTGGCACTGCACTGCGGGGGAGAATCGAGAATCAGGCAGCGTCATCATGTACATACTGACCAAATCTGTTCCACCATCAGGCCAGCTCCAGACTCGACCCCCAACCCTGTCGCTGCCAACAGCCCCCAACAACGACAGCAAGAGACCCGAATGCAAATTGCCCACCTAAAGATTGACTTTCCAACAATCTGTATCTGAGTGTGACTTGGCGTTCTCTTCGAGTTGCATTCCCCTTTCGAAGACGCGTCAAGCGGTTAAGCAGGTCCGCCAGCGAACGACCGATACACCCTCGAAAAATATACCCCATCTGCCATCATCGCAGCTTAACCTGATATCAAAAATCTCCTTCCCGTTATCAACCACGACAGCGACGTCCCTTTAATGAGTGCGGAGTCTTTCCTGCTTCCGACCTGACACCCTCGCGAACTGATCACCCTCTTCGACTTACCGAGCCTTCCCTCCCTGTCCATGCTCCGAGCGGCCAACGCACCATAGACTCTCACCTCTAAGTTTCCCTCGCCAGGGTAACGGCGCCATACAGGAACCATGTTGGAAGGACTTGTTGCCGGCCTGCTCAACAGGTTTCTGGGCATGTACGTCAAGAACTTCGACCCTGCACAACTCAAGGTTGGAATATGGTCTGGCGATGTCAAGCTCAGGAACCTCGAGCTGCGGCGGGAGGCTCTCGATCAGTTGAAGCTTCCAATCAACGTTATGGAAGGCCATCTCGGCGAGCTGACCCTCGTCATTCCTTGGTCCAACTTGCGCGGCGCTCCCGTTAAAGTCTTCATCGAAGACGTCTTCCTGCTAGCCTCTCCCAGGGAGGAGGCTGCTTACGACGAAGATGAAGAAGCTCGGAGAAAACAAAGAATAAAGATGGAAAAGCTTGACTCGGCCGAGCTTCTCAAAGAGAGATCACAGGAAGGCTTGAGCCAGGAGGAACAGCAAAAGAGCCAGAGCTTTACCCAAAGCCTGGTGACAAAGATCGTTGACAACCTGCAGGTTACGGTCAAAAATATCCACATCAGATACGAAGATTCCATCTCTGCGCCGGGGCACCCTTTTGCCCTCGGTGTCACCTTGGAGGAGTTCAGTGCCGTCAGCACCGATGGTCAATGGAAGCCGACATTTATCCAGGATTCTACCAAGAGCACCCACAAGCTCGCAACTCTCGGCGCCCTTGCCGTCTACTGGAACACAGATTCAGAGTTGCTAGGCCCTGGCAGAGAAGTCTCCACAGACGAAAACCCGCCTATGCCGCATGATGAGATGGTTGCCAAGTTCAAGACCCTGATAGCGTCAACAGAAGACACGGAGCTCAACCACCAGTTCATTCTGCGCCCAGTCAACGGAAAGGCCAAGATCGTTCTCGACAAAAGTGGCGACGTACATGCGCCTAAGGCCAAAGCGAGCTTGCTCTTTGAGGAAATTGGTTTGGTTATCGATGATGACCAATACCGTGATGGCTTGATGATGGTGGATCTTTTCCACTACTTCATTCGTCACCAGGAATATAAAAAGTTCCAGCCAAAGGGTGTCACGCCTAAAGAGGATCCCAGGGCATGGCTCAAGTTTGCAGGCAATGCGGTACTCCACAAAATCCAAGAGAAAAACCGCAGGTGGTCATGGGACTACTTCAGAGAGCGTCGCGACGACCGGAAACGCTATATTGAGCTCTTCAAGAAGAGGAAGCAGCAACAGCAGCTATCACCTCAGGAAAATGACGACCTCAACAGCCTAGAAATGAAGCTTGACTACGAAGATTTGCGGTTTTGGAGGTCATTGGCACGCAACCAGTTGAAAAAAGAGAACGCTGAAGCTCTCAAGAATCAGCCCCCCAAGCAGGAGCAGCAAGGTTGGATGTCATGGGTTTGGGGTGGAGGCGCAAAACATCATGAACAGCCCCAGAACACTGACGAGAACACGCAGATCACGGAGGAGCAACGCAAGGAGCTGTACGATGCCATTGACTGGGACGAAAAGACAGCTATCGCTGAGTCTGTCGATGTTCCTCGAAACTCAGTCAAGATGCAAGTCGAAGCATGGCTGAGCACTGGTAGCTTCACCCTAAAGAAGAGCCACAACGGCAAGAGAAGTGATCTTCTGAGTCTTCACTTTGATGTTTTCAAGGCCAAGGTTCTGCAGCGCCCTGATTCTTTTCTTGCCGACGTCAGCCTCGGCGGGCTCCGTGTCAACGACGGCACCACGCCCGACTCTCTTTTCCCAGAGATTGTCCGCGTCAAAGACGCGCCTGATGGCCAGGAGCGCAAGCGTCTGACCATTGAAGAGTTGGAAGAAAACGATGAAGAGCCCTTCTTCCGATTTGAAGTTGAACAGAATCCTATAGACCGGGAGGGAGACATAGCGCTCTCTGGCTCTCTCAAACCCCTCGAGATTGTGTGGAATCCAAATTTTGTTGTTGGTGTCGCCGACTTTTTCCGACCACCCGAGAGGCATATGGAATCCATCACAGCTCTGATGGAGACTGCTGGCGCTACAGTCGAGACGTTCAGGGAACAAACTCGGGCAGGTCTCGAATTTGCCTTGGAGGAGCACAAAACCATCAATGCCCAGCTTGATCTGCAAGCTCCTCTCATCATTGTGCCGGTCAGTATTGCTGTCAAGGAGTCAACTTGTCTGATTCTGGATGCTGGTCATATCAGCGTCAACAGCGAACTGGTTGATCACGAAACCATGAAGCAGATTCAGTCTAAGCAGCGCCAATCATACACGGATGAGGACTTCAAGCGCTTGGAGTCTGTCATGTATGACAAGTTCTTGGTCAAGCTCTCTTCGACACAGGTGCTAATAGGACCGTCCATTGAGGTGACAAAGGCTCAACTGGTGGAGAAGGACGACAAACAACATCTCCACGTCGTGGAACGGATCAACGTCGACTTTGTTGTCGAAACATCAATCCTTCCCAAGGCTCCAAACCTTACCAAACTCAAGGTGTCCGGCCATCTTCCTCTATTACATGCCACCGTCTCGGATACGAAATACAAGAACTTGATGCGGATCATCGACGTCGCCATCCCCAAGTTCGGCCGGGATGACCAGCAGGTACAAATCAAAGACTCGGAGGGTCAAGCTGTGACGACTCGACCCCGGGGGCTGAGTACAGCATCAACTCGCTCGCGATCTCGTAAGGAGCCTTCCCGACGAAGATCCTCGCAGTTCCCTTTTATGCAACAACAGACTGCCATCGTAATCGATGAAGATGACGACGACAGTGATGAATTTGAGGACGCCGACGGCGGCCGAGACAACAAGGAGCAGCTCAAGCTGCAGCAGCGTTCTTTCGAGTTCAAGTTCAAGGTCGATACCCTCAAGGGCTCACTCTATCGCAGCGATCCAGACAAGAAGAAGCCAGATGCGCTCCTCGTCGAGCTTGTTGCTGAAAATTTCGATCTTCTTTTCTACTTGCGGCCGTATGATATGTCAGCCGAGGTTTCACTTGGTTCGGTGACGATGGATGACTTTGTCGACAACCCTTCAGCAGAATTCAAGTCGATTGTGTCGTCAGGAGACCCGGATGACCGTGAACAAAACCGCAGTCTTGTCAACGTCAAGTTCACCAGAGTGAACCGGCAGTCACCTGAATTCATGACAGTATACGAAGGCGTGGAGACAAATGTCACGGCTGCAATATCTACCATCAATCTTATCGTAACAAGAAAAACTCTCCTTACACTCTTGGACTTCATCTTAGCAACATTCACCGGCAATAACAACGAAGCAGCCTCAAATCAAGAACAAAAGGCGATCTCGGACTCAGAGGACGACGAGGACGGTGTCGAGATTGCCGTCGAAGGCCCGTCAGAAGATGCACCGGTGAACACGGGTTCTATTAGAGTTAAAGTCGACCTCAAGAGTATTCGTCTAATTCTCAACAACGATGGCATCCGTCTGGCCACATTGTCTTTCAATCATGCCGACGTTGGTGTTTTCCTCTTAGGCAAAACGATGCGAGTGAACGCCAAGTTGGGCAACCTTAATTTGGTTGACGATGTCAACCAGGGTGTTTCTGAAGAGTCAAACTTACGAAAGCTCATTTCTATTCAAGGAGACGAGCTTGCCGACTTCCGATACGAGACGTTCGATGCCACCAACAAAAAAGCCTATCCTGGATACGACTCCTCAGTTTACCTTAGAGCTGGCTCCGTCAAGCTGAACTTCATGGAGGAGCCATTTAGAAAGATCATCCAGTTTCTAGTAAAGTTTGGAAAGATGCAAGCCATCTACAATGCTGCTCGCCAAGCGGCTGCATCCCAGGCTAGCCAAATCCAACAGAGCACGAGCAGATTCAAATACGACGTTGTTGTCAAGACACCGATCGTCGTCTTCCCTCGCGTGGTCCACCACGGCGAACCCAAGCGCGATGTCATCACCGCGTACTTGGGAGAAATTTATGCGCAAAACAAGTTTGCCCCACTAGACGACTCTGAAAATTCGCAGATTGCGACCAAGATCTCCGCAGGAATTCGCAACATCCGCCTAACTTCTGACTTCAACTACCCTGGCGATCTCTCTGAAGAACTAGAGCTCATTGACAAAGTCGACTTGGGCTTCAACGTGACTTATGCGGAACACCAAGATGGCTCAAAGCGCCCTGAACTTGAGATAGAAGGCAGCATGTCTGACTTCAACTTGAAGCTTACACAGTACCAACTTCGATTTTTGATGGAAATATCAAAGTCTGTCCCGGCTGCGTTTGCCGGTGATGCAGAGGAGCAGAACCAAGAAGCCGAAAGAGAAGTCGATAAGGACACCCTTCAGAGAGCAAAGTCGTTACCCATTGATAAGAATAAAGCCAATGACCAGCAATTGGTGGATCTTGGCCCTGAGTTGTCGCCCAAGGACAAGGCATGGACGAAGCTTGATTTGGTATTCCAAGTCAATACCATTGGCATGGAGCTTCTCTTAGCACATGAGGACAAGCCTGTTGGCAAGCTTGAAAATGCCAGTCTGTCGCGGTTTTCACTAGATGTCACCAAGTTGAAGACTCGGATGCTCAATGACGGATCGTTGGAGGGTGAATTCCTCATTCACGCCTTCACAATTCACGACAGCCGGCCACGCGAGACGAATAAGTTCCGGCGGATTATGACGTCTTCTAACAAGGAGGTGCAACAGCTCATGGCTAGCATTACGATGTCAGGCGGACAAGACAGAAACCTCATTGCCATTGTTACCATTGACAGTCCACGGATCATCTTTGCGTTAGACTACCTATTCGCTATCCAGAACTTCATTATGGTTGGCTTGCAATCCGAAGAGCCTTCAATTGTTGATGACGAGTCACTTCTGGAGACGCCGGATGAGTCTGATGCGGACGCGGACTCAATGCAAGTAACTTGGTCAAAGGCCAAGTCTCAGAAGAGCAGCAAGGAAGATACAGAAGAACAACAAGGCAGTGCTGAGGATAAACCCCAAAGTACTTTGAGCATTGCCTACAGGGTGAACATTGTCGATGCCCAAGTCATCCTGATCGCCAACCCACTAAGCGCTAGCTCCGAGGCCATTGTTCTTGGCACCAAACAGGTACTCCTATCTCAACAGCACGCCTTGACATTCCAGGTATCTGAAGTTGGCATGTTCCTCTGCCGCATGGACCGGTTTGAAGACTCACGTCTCCGGATCATCGATGACTTCTCAGTCCAAATGTCAATGGACAGCTCGAAACCAAATGTCACTAGCATTCATGCCGACATTGAGCCATTGATTTTGAGACTTTCTCTGCGAGATATTCTTCTTGCGCTGCAAATCGCCAGCAAGGCTACTGAGCTTTCTGATCAACAGCCCAAAGACACCAAATCTGCGTCTGCCGTGGATGAGAAAGCACGACAACTCCGACAGGCCGGTCTCAAACAACGAACAGCCAGTGGGAAAGGTCCTTCGACTATTGCCAACAAGACTGTAGTGTCCAAAACGGCGAAGGTTGCCGCAAGTCAGGCTGCGCAGGACCATGCAGAGGCCAACCCTCAACCACGACGACACGAAGAGCTCTTCGCCACCATCGCAGGCATTCGTGTTGTTCTTATCGGCGACGTTCACGAACTTCCCATTTTGGATCTAGGCATCAAGAACTTTACCGCCACAGCGGAAGACTGGTCATCCAATCTCAAGGCCGAAACCGCCATTGACCTATACACGAACGTGTACAACTTCTCCAAATCCGCCTGGGAGCCGTTGCTTGAGCCTTGGCAAGTGGGCATTGGCATGGCAAAAGACTCGCAGTCTGGCCTCATGTCCATCGATGTCGCTTCCAAGAAGATTTTTGATGTTACACTCACCACGGCGACCATTGCTTTGGCGTCCAAATCTTTTGCTTTCCTCAGCCGGGATGAAGACGTCCTCGGCAAACCACGCGGTGTTGATGCACCGTACCGTATCCGCAACTATACTGGATTCGATGTGGTGGTGCAGTCCAAGAGCTCAACAACTGACGATAACATGACGGTTCGCCTCGAAGATGGCCAAGAAGCGCCTTGGAGTTTTGAACCGTGGGAGAAGATGCGTGAAAATCTGGCGGCTGAGACCAATACTGGTACCGTCGGCATTCATTTAGAAGGAAGTGGTTTCGACCCTGTCAAGAATGTGCGGCTGAACAGGGAGGGTGAGGGCATTTACGGCCTGAAGCCCAAGACAGACAACATTTTACATCGTCTTCTTGTCGAAGTTACTTTGGGTAAGGACAATGTCAAATATGTCACTCTCCGATCACCTCTTCTCGTCGAGAACCATACCCAGATTCCAGTTGAGCTGGGTGTCTATGACGCTCAAGAGGGGCATCTACTCAAGATTGAGAAGATTGCTCCCGGAGAAAGTCGGCCAGCACCAGTTGGGGCAGCGTTCCTTAAATCTTTGCTTGTACGGCCCGACTCTGGTTTTGGTTACGCGTGGTCATCTGAAACTCTTTGGTGGAGAGATCTTTTGAAGAGACCTACCCGGACCATGGTTTGCAAAGGCGAAAATGGTGATCCATTCTACTTCCAACTCAACGCTACATACGACAAGTCGAATCCGTTAACCAAGTGAGTAGCCGGCAATGTGTACTAAGAGTTAAGCTGGCTAACAAAGGCTACAGGAACTACCCCTACATGCGAATCAAGCTTTCTCCGCCTGTGATTCTCGAGAACCTGCTTCCGTACGACTTCAAGTACCGAATCTACGATAAAAACACCAAGAAGGACTGGGCAAACTTCCTTCGCAAAGGTGGTCTCAGCCCAGTACATGTGGTGGAACTGTCTCACCTACTTCTTCTCAGTGTCGACATGCAAGACACTGTCTTCAAGCCTAGTGACTTTGCCATCATCAACTCTGGACAGTCGGATGACTTCAAGAAAGAAGATAGGCTGATTTGCAAGGACGAGGACGGCTTACAACTCAATCTCAAGCTTCACTACCACAAGATCCCCGACAGCGGTGGAGCTTTCCGAGTTACAGTCTACAGTCCCTACGTGATATTGAACAAGACTGGTCTTGACTTGCATATCCGAGCAAAGGGCTTCTTGCAGGGAGCGAGGCCTGCTGCAGGCCAGTCAACCTTGTCGTTCAGATCCGAAAGAGATCGACCCAAGGCAACACCTTTCATGTTCTCTTACGGCAATGATGACCACAGAAACCGCGCGCTGTTGCAAATTGCTGATTCCGAATGGAGCAAACCGCAGAGTTTTGACGCTATTGGAAGCACAACTGAGGTAGTCTTGCTGTCCCCATCCAGGAATACCGAGGTGCACATCGGTATCACCACCGAAGCAGGTGAAGGTAAATACAAAATGACGAAGGTTGTTACCCTGGCTCCGCGGTTTGTTTTGGAAAACAAACTGGGAGAAGAAATCAACGTCAGGGAGTCCAGTTCGTCGGGCTTCATGACACTTAAACCAGGTGCACACCAGCCGTTGCATTTTATGCAGAAAACGGCTATCAAGCAGCTTTCACTCTGTCATCCGGGAATGAACAACCAGTGGACTTCTCCTTTCAACATCTCAGATATTGGCACGACACATATCAAGATTGCCAAGGCGGGTCAGAGGCAACGACTGATCCGCGCAGAGATCTTGATGGAGGGCGCCACCATCTTTTTGCATTTGAGCATGGAAACGAAGAACTGGCCCTACCAGATGAGAAACGAGAGTGATACCGAGTTCACTTTCTATCAAGCGAACCCTAGTCTGGAGGATGATGGCGTCGAAGACAGGTCCGGCTGGAGGCCTATCAAGTACCGTCTGCCCCCTCGAAGCATCATGCCGTATGCATGGGACTTCCCCGCCGCCAAGTTCCGTGAGATCATTATCAATGTTCACGGCAAAGAGAGGCATGTCAAACTCGCGGAAATCGGCAATCAGATCCCAATGAAGTTCACCACCCCTTCAGGTCAACAAAAGATCATCGATATCAACGTCGCTGCAGACGGACCCACTCAAACGTTGATCCTGTCAAACTTCCGGCAATCCAAGAGTCTTTACAGACAAAAGTCGAAGTCTGGTTCCCGTAACAGTACCGATGGTTTCGAGGTCAAGGATCAAGAGACGACTGCAACATTCCGAGCCCAGTTGAAGCTTTCAGGCATCGGTGTTTCGCTCATCAACTCACAGCTGAAAGAGCTTGCATACGTAACTTTCAGAGATGTCTCTCTTCGTTACCACGACTCGCCTCTCCACCAAACTGTCAGCTTTTCGGTGAAGTGGATTCAAGTTGACAATCAGCTTTATGGCGGGCTCTTCCCCATGATTTTATACCCCAGTGTTGTTCCCAAGAGGGCTCAAGAGGTCGATGCACACCCGTCCCTTCACGCAATGGTTACCAGGGTTAAGGATGATTCTTACGGAGTACTGTATATCAAGTACGCCACCATATTGATGCAGCAAATGACGATCGAACTCGACGAAGACTTTGTCTACGCTGTGCTCGACTTTTCCAACATTCCAGGTGCCGCATGGTCCGACAGCGACGTGGAAGGCAAGCTATGTGATGAAGAGCTGGATATTCCCGAGCCAAACCAACAACAGTCCGGCCAAGACATCTACTTTGAACTGTTAAACATCCAGCCCATGCAACTAGACCTCTCCTTCATGCGCACAGAACGTGTCAATGCTGAAGACAAGACATCATCCCGAAATCCCTTGATGTTCTTCCTCAACGTCATGACTATGGCCATTGGCAACGTCAACGACGCCCCAATCCGGCTCAACGCTCTCATGTTGGATAATGTGCGAGTATCTGTTCAGGCGTTGACGCAGAACATTTCTAACCACTACAGCCAAGAGGTCCTGTATCAAATTCACAAGATCCTCGGATCTGCTGACTTCCTTGGTAACCCTGTGGGATTGTTCAACAACATCAGCTCAGGGTTAACAGATGTTTTCTACGAACCCTACCAAGGCCTTATTCTCTCAGACAAGCCAGAGGATTTTGGTTTGGGCGTTGCGAAAGGAGCCGCATCCCTGGTGAAGAAGTCCGTTTATGGCTTCACTGATTCCTTCTCCAAATTCACAGGCAGTCTTTCCAAGGGTCTTGCAGCTGCAACTCTTGATAAGCAGTTCCAAGATCGTCGCCGCATCACTCGGGCGAGAAATCGTCCCAAGCACGCTCTTTACGGTGTCACCACTGGTGCCAATTCTCTCTTCACGAGTGCTGCATCTGGAGTCGGCGGACTGGTGCGCAAGCCACTTGAGGGTGCCGAACAGGAGGGCGCTCTCGGTTTCATCAAGGGCATCGGCAAGGGCGTGGTCGGATTCGCTACCAAGCCAGCCATCGGTGTCTTGGACATGGCATCCAACGTTTCTGAAGGCATCCGCAACACAACTACCGTCTTTGATGGTTCGGAGCTTGACCGCGTCCGCCCCGCACGATTCGTACCTGCGGACGGCATCGTACGACCATACAATGCTCGAGAAGCCCTCGGCCAGTCTTGGTTGAAACAAGTCGACAACGGCAAGTATTTCAATGAAAATTACATCGCTCATCTAGAGTTACCCCGTGAAGACATGGTGGTCATGGTCACTTATGCACGAATCCTACTCATTCGAAGCCGACGCCTGACATCAGAATGGGATGTGCCTTTGAAGGACGTTCAGACAATTGCCAAAGAACGAACGGGTCTTAGTCTTACCCTTAGAGGAGGTACCAACGGGCCCTTCATCCCCATTGGCGATGAGAGCGGCCGTGCTTTCTTATATAAGATGGTTGCCGTCGCAGTAGAGGAGTTCAACAGAAGGTTTAGGGGGTTGGAATAAGTAACGAAGGCAGCAGGCACCAACTGGGGAGACAAAAATACGGAAACCCTGGTTGATGCCAGGGAACAGCTGCACTTGTTGTTTTGATGAGTTTCTCTTTCGTAATTACTACAGGCTCTTATGCATAGCCTCTCAGTTCCTTAGCAAGCATATGTAATTAGCGCCTTACTTATATTGCGTTGTATTGACTTGTAAGGGAGTCGATTAAAACTTCCACGAATGATTTAGACATTAGCACATGAAGAATGGCACCCTATCAGTGAATTAGTAGTTGCTCGCCTCAACATTTCAATGGCTGAAACTAAATCATGTGGGGCAGCGATCAAAGGTTCCATGGATTCATGTCATGCTAGAAACCAAAATATAGTGCAGGTTTCATGCCGGTCCTAAATATTGATATTATACTACTATCTATGTTGCCTGATGGAGGCCACTCAAGTTTATAGGCTGTAGTTATAATGGTTCGAAACAAACCTTTTGATGAGTGTTAACTGTTGTCATTGAAATTTGTGATGCAGTTCGTTTGAAATATAAATTGAAAATTTGGGGCATGACTATCAACCTGTGATTGGATGAAGGAGCCAATAGAATCAAAAGAAGCTCTGGAAGACAAAAGGTGTTCCCTGCAAGTTTGGTAGTAAAGTTCTGGCGTGCCACCAACCACGTCCTTTTATTTTACCTGGTGGCTGACCCAAAGGTCAGTGGCCTTTTTTTTTTTTTTTTTTTTTTAATAGATTAAGACAGTTACCTAGGAATCTTTTGGTTCTTTTACCTGCCGAAACAAGCTATCAGTACCGCCGGTGGAGTTTGTATCTTCGAGATGAGCAATGAGCAGGACATGAACATTGACGGCTTACGACAACATATTGCCTTTCTTGCCTTCAGTAGGTTCCACAAGATAAGCCATATGCTTGTTTTTAATTGATTAAGTCGTTCGCTCAGCAACTCTTCACTTTGTGCTGGAGAAAAAGCTTACGAAAGGCCACGCTGTAGTACCGAGCACTCCGCAATGTGACGTCGTGACGGGGCCTCGGTTCCTTGAGACATTCGGAAGATTTGCGTGTGTAGTAGACACTACAGTTGGGTATGGAAAGTGCGGAGAAACAGGGTTTAGCTGCCTTGTTGAGTGTTACGAATGGTCGCATGACATGTTGTTGATCGTCAGTTTGGTACTTGGGGACCTTTTGACGATCCTACGTAGCTGTAGCTGATCATTACCCATCCAAGTAGCTTACTCGTGATTTGGCCAGAGTTCGGGAGAAAGGCGTCCGGCTCAACAGTTGCAAGGGGCTTCCGGATTTCTGGTAATGACTCGCTTTTTTTTTTTTTTTTTGGTCAAATGTCGCTGGGGCTTCTTGTTTCAAAGATAACGTGAAATGAAACTTGATTGCAATCACGCTCATGGTGCTGGATGATAACAGGTTCCATCTACTAAATTCCCACATTCGTAATCCACTCTAATGGTTGCATTGGAACTGACTATACTGCCAGGTTTTTGAAATGCACCAGCTCTGCCTAACTTGCTCGCAAAGAGCTGCGCTGTTGTTTAGGTGAAACACTTTAATGTAGAACTTACCGAGCTAGTCGTCATGCAAGCAGGCTGCTACCTACTGAAAACAAAATAGGATTTCATTTCACTGGCTCAATTCGGTGTAAACAAGTTCCACATAACTGTTGTATTACGCTTTATCTGCTAATGTTCGTCGCAATATATCCATATGCCCTAAGTATGTACAAAAGTTTGAATTGACAAAATTATCCGTGCATATTCACATAAGCTCCGCCCCACGGTAAAAAGCTTGCCACGAAGTCGGATGAAGAACGTTAAGTGGACATATGATGATCTGGCTGTGCCGGGTGCTCCTTGTGAGCTGAAGCTCAGTATAAAGCCGTTTATCGGAAGTTGCCACCACCGTTGCAGCGGGACAGGGGGATGCTTCTCTGCTTCTTGATGCAGGCAGTGATGGCACCACCAACCCAGGTGACACCCTCGTAAGAACCCTCCTCATGAGAATCGGCGATGAAGGTACCGGTCTGGCGCAGGCTGCCAACACAGCCCTGGAAGGTGCGACCATACTTGCGGTTGGTCCAGGGACGGGTAATGACAACTCCAGTCTCGCCATTGTCAACGGTGCCGCGGATGAGGTAGCCCTGGGTGGTTGTCCAGGTGCGAGAGTAGTTAATGCCGAAGCTGTTCTTGAGGCGGTCCTTGATGAGGGTAATATCAATACCAGCGCTAACTTGGACAGAGTTGGCGACGGAGTAAGACTTGGAAATGGTGATGTCAATGCCCTTGCTACCGGCACCAATGACGACAGGAGACATCTGCACGTCCCAGTCGACGAAGCGCTGGCTGCGGTCCACAACGGTCTGGTAGTTGCTGTTGCAGTCACGCTTGCCGAGTGCGATGGCAGTGTGGTTGACGGGGAGCTCAGGCAAGTTCTCGGGGTGGTTCAGCCAGTCCTCGTCGTCAAGAGGGGGCTCGGCAGAGATGTCCAACTGCTGAAGGAACAGCTTCCAGGTGTCTTCGGTGATGATCTGGGCTAAAGAAACAATGCTTAATTAGCGGAGCCTTCACGTTCTAAAAAGAAGGATACTTACAGCGATCCTTTCCGTAGACGAGCATCTCGCCTCTTCGGAGGTCACGCTCAACAGAGTCGGTGACGTTGGTAGGCGCATCGAGCTCGACGATGGGAGCGGCGCTGACTGCAGCAGCGGCCGCTGAGAGGAGAGCGACGAAGCGGACGGAAACCATTTTGATAAAGGGAGACCAAAGCTGTTGGACAGGAGAGTAGAGAAGTTGAGTGATGAGAGTGATGAGGATGATGAGGAAAATGATGCCAAGCAGCGAGATCATGCAGAGACTTTATAGAAACTGCTGAATGCATCTCGTTTGCGGTTTTGAGAGATATTCCTCTCTAAGTGTCATGATGGCCTCGCATGCACGGTGATACTCAATGTAATTGCAGATAGATTCATCCGAACCATTGCGGCCATCCTTGCAACTCTCGCATGTTGGTATAGCATCAACCTTGCATCTTATAGTGGGACTACTTACCAGGAGATGTGTTGTTGTTCCTTTCTAGTATAATTGAGGGTCGATCTGCTCTCAACCCCTGCAGTCGGGCAAAGGCCCCGCCTTGTGCTGTTTCTTCGTGATTTAACTGGATCGAGGTCAGCCTCGTGTTTCTTCCCGGCGGAACTGATTTCATATCTTGATTATCTACTTTCTTAATGCAGTATAGCACCCCCCGTTCAGCACGACTCAGAGGCCATCACGAGCTATCAGTATGGCCTGTTACCTGGGTTGTTGTTTTTATCTGAGGAGTAGTCAACTAGAACGCACGTGTAAGTACAATCGCACGTGCTGGACCACCAAGGTCAATACATCACGAACGAGTAATGAATTCCAATAGTTTTTCTCCAATAGATTGCTCGTGTATCGAATGAGGCAATATGGCCGCTCGACTGAGATATTACGCAATATGGTTATCTTGAGTCTGGCCTTTGGCCGTGGGCTTACCTTTATCGTCCTTCCTTTAGTCTAACCCTTCTGCAGTCTAACCCATCTTCAGCTTAACCTCTTCAGTCTAACCTCTTGAGAGCTACAGCTCTTTGCTCCGAACTTTTAAGATACAAATCAATCCCCAGTCTCTCATCAATTTCGAACTTTATCTACACAATTAACCTTTTTACATTTACCTACCCATCAAGCATAATTTCTCTCAACCCGAGTCCTTACCACTCTTCACAAACCGACACAATGCAGATCTCCACCCTTGCCACACTAGCGCTTATGGCTGGCGTGTATGTTCTCCCAAGGCAATGCCTTCTGACATTGTGCTAATGATCGGTGTCTAGTGCCGTCGCCAAACTGCACAACGCCGCTGTGTGTGTTAACAACAGAAGGATTGGTTCTACTGGCAACGGTACCCCCTGGGGCCTCGGCTATGGGTCCTACAAGGACTACGAGATTGCTACCGAGGCCACCAAGTGCGCCTGCAACATGTACAAGAACCGCAACACCGGCAACAACCAGTGGGACAAGTGCCCTGACTGCAAGTTCGTAAGTTACCTGGCCCCAAACGAGACCCCCAGGAAAAACGTTGTGCTAACTCGTAGAAAAGGACGGCCTTCAGTGCGTCTCGGGAGCCTGGCACATTGGCGGTGACGAGGTACGCCAATTGCGACCCAAAGCGAACATTGAAAGAGGTATGCTAACCTTTGTGCGTTCTAGATGACCTACTACTGCGAGAAGAAGTGTGGCGCCCAGGGTGCGGAGGCCAACTAAATTCCGAATCCCAGTGGGAAAACGTGTGTCATGGCAGATTTGTTGGGGCTTGCAATTATCGATACCACAGAGCAATGGCGTTGGATTCATACGTTGATAATCAATTCATTGTACATAGTTGTCACGTCATGCAGATCTACAATCTAATTTGGCTTTTGTTTACCTCCGCGTCTTACCTTGCCCTTAATGACTTTGACTTTCTCGTGGCCGCACAGGCCAAAGTCTATTTATTCCAACGTGGCTACCCCCTAGACTTCCCGTTCTTAGCGAAAGGCAAAAATGGCCATGGGAATAATCTTTGTGGTTTTTTTTTGCCTTTTGTTCCGTTTCAATTTACTCCAATATGTTCATCCTGTGTCTGGTTTGTCCCATTGGATTGTTAACACTCATGTATGGCTTGCAGTCAAAATTTGCTTTGGTTGGCCCCCAAGACAGCTGCAGGGCAGCACTGCTTGGGTTGCAACAAATCCCACGGCCAAGACTGTCATGTCACTTCAGCCCAGGAACATACACACCGCAGCATTCGCGGGGGCTAGTGGGTCATTGGCGAAAGGTCATCCTTCTCATGTTTGTCCACGTGCTTCATTACCAACCTCTCAGCACACACTATTGGGCCACTGATAACTCGTCAACAGTGGCAAGGCATCCAATTTACAAATTAATCTCTTAACGAGGATCTTGCCGTATCGGGCATAATTACTCTATTTCTTTGAGAAAGGAAATGCTGCCTAAGATTAAGAGTATACTAGTCATGCACTGCGGGACCGACTTTGGATACGGGGTTTGAGACGGACAGGTGGGGATATCTACATCCCTACTTGGCCCCGGCCGGCACCGGGAGCACGGCAATTGGGATGCCAATTATGAATCAACTAAGACAATTTGCTTGCCGGGATATGGTGCATCTCCCGGCTAGACTTCGATACCTGAGGGGCTTTGTGTGAATTGTTTCCAACTTGAAGGTGGAAGGTCTTCCAGGTGCATGTGCGGAGTTGGCACGTGGAACTGGGACAGCTTCTGGTCAGCACAAAACCTTCCGCTAGCATCATTTTAAGAGAATGACTATTGTTACGGCCAGCTATCTGACAGTAGGGTTCTGCTAACAGAAGGTGCAGTAAGAGACTAACACTGGTTCGTAGAGGTCGTTCTGGTAGATCGTAGGGTTAGGGTAAGGTGATCAGTCTTACACTATGGTAACGAGGTTCTTAGTATTCACAATACTGAGAGGTAAGCTGAAAGTCATTCGAGGATGAATCACAAGTTGATTGCTAAAGAACTATCTAGAGGGCTTGAGCAGGTACTCAAGTCCTGGTCTATATAGGAGTCTATCTATACGTATTGTCTGTAGTCGTTGGAGATCATATTGATCGAACATGATCCGTTGGCCCCTAACTCTTCTTAGATCATTCTAACCTAGAATGATTCATCACGTAACTTGTTCCGTTCTATAGTTCTTCCGTTCCGAGAGGTTACCTTTTGTTCCCGTGGCCCTGCATACAAAGTCCTGTCATAACCGCCCAACCGAGTGGGTCCTGTTAGGTGTATCTAACGGGTCGTAACATCAGGTCTCCCCTCGATGGTCTTGTCCTCAAGGCCAACATAAGTAGGTCGTGGCTTCCCAGGTTGGGGAGTCGTCAATCGTGTCCGTAGTTTTTCCATTTAATGAAGTATTCTGTTGTTTCGTCATTCCTCCGGTGGTCTAGAATGCGTTCTACTTCGTATTCGGTGTCATCTGTTTCCATAATGATGCAGTCTTCGGTATGTATACCGTCCGGTGCTGGTTCTAATAATGAGACGTGAAAGACTAGGTGACATTTCATTGTTTCCGGTAGTTTCAACTCGTAGTTGACTTCGGAAATTTTCTTCGTGATTTCGAAAGGTCCTAGTTTTTTGAAGTCGAGTTTGTCGCTAGGTCGTTTCGTTTTGATGTTTCGCCGTATGAGATAGGCGCTACCTCCCTCTTTTAGGGGTGGGCCTCTCACCCTATGTCGGTCGGCGTGTTTCTTCATTCTTTGCCGTACGAATTCGAGTTCTTGGGGTAGTTTTTGTTGGATTTCCTTAAGTTTCTTGATGTCTGCTACTGCTTTTATCGCGGCAGAGCCGGTTCGGGGTTCTCTATAAGCGGTAGGGTTGAATCCATAGTTGAGGAAGAAAGGTGATTCTCGCGTGCTTTCTCCTATTGAACTGTTGTATGCGAACTGTGCGGTTGGTAACAACTTGACCTAGTTGTCCTGGTCGTAGTTCACATAACTCCTTAGGTACGTTTCCAGGATCTGGTTGATTCTTTCCGTTTGTCCGTCGGACTGCGGGTGGAAGGCAGTGCTGAGGCTGTGCTTTGCTCCGAGCTGCGAGATCAGGGATCTCTAAAACTTGGACGTAAAGACTGATCCTCTGTCTGATACTATTTCCTGGGGCAGGCCGTGTTGGCTGACAATGATCTTCGTGAATCTATCTACAACCACTAGTATACTGTCGTACTGTACTTTAGTGAGTGGTTCTCTCGATTTTGGTAGTTTGACGATAAAGTCTAGAGAGATTAAGTGCCAGGGTGCTGGTGGTGCTGGCAATAGTTGTAATTCTCCATATGGTTTGTATCTGCTGGGCTTACTTTTTGCGCAGACTTCGCAATCCTTGATTGCGTTAGCGACGTCTTTTCTTATTACTTGCTTGTCGTGGTGTTGTCTAATTCGTTTCTAGGTTTTCGTAACTCCTTGGTGACCGTGAGCGGGTGCGCTGTGTATCTCCCTGATCTGGTCGTGTGTCATTCTTCTAGTCGTGCTGGTCTTGACACGGTCGCCGATCATTAAGAGTTTCGCGGCGGGTACGAGGTCGCTATTGTCTTTTTTGAGGATAACCTGAGTTTCTTCTAGGACTTCGTCCTTGTAATCGGGTCTTCGGCTAAGCGCGTCTGCTCTGCCGTTTTCTGATCCTTTCCTGTAGATGATTCTGAAGTTGAATTCTGAGAGGAATTCTGACCATCTGATTTGTCGTTTGTTAAGCTCTTTCGAAGTGGTGAAGTGTGCTAGATTCTTGTGATCCGTGTACACTTTTACTTCGTACTTTGTTCCTAATAGTTAGGGTCTCCATTCTTTGAATACGTCGATAATTGCCATAAGTTCCTTATCATGGATCTAGTAATTCAGTTTAGGTCCTTGGAACTTCCTTGAAAAGAATCTACAGGGGTGTAGGACTCCGTTCTCGTCCCTTTGGCCTAGCTGCGCTCCTTCAGCTTCGTTCGAAGCATCCGTTTCGAGCTCGAAGGGCTTCTCAGGGTTCGGAATCTGGATAACGGGTTCCGATGTAACCTTGTCCTTGACTTCTTAGAACGCTTTCTGTTGTTTGTCTGTCCATTCCCAAGGTGCATTTTTCTTAGTAAGCTTGGTAAGAGGCAATATCGTTTTGGAGTAGTCTTTAAGGAATTTTCGGTAGAAGTTAACAAATCCTAAGAAGGATAGTATGTCCTTCGGGTTCTCTAGTATAGGCCATTCTTGCACAGCCTTGATTTTGTTAGGGGACATCTTGATTACGCCTGGCGTGATTGTAAACCCTAAAAATTCTACTTCCTGTTTGTAAAACAGACTCTTCTCTGGTTCTACAAGTAGCTTCGCTTGTTCGAGTGCTTTGAGAATCTCGTGGACATGCTTCTTGTGTTCTTCCAACGTTTTGGAGAATATAAGGATGTCGTCGAGGTACACAACAACAGACTTGTCTAGATATTCCCGTAGTACTTGGTTGATCATAGTTTGGAATATAGCCGGTGCGTTGGTGAGTCTAAATGGCATGACTAACGTTTCAAACTGTCCTCTTCTCGTTCGGAAGGCTGTTTTCCACTCATCTCCTTCTGCAATTCGGATAAGGTTGTAGGCTCCTTTAAGGTCCAAGGCTGTAAACCATTGGGCCTCGTAGAGTAGGTCTCTTAGTTCCGATATGAGGGGCAGTAGGTAACAGTCTTTGATCGTAATATCGTTAAGTCGTCGATAATCGACATAAAGTCTTTTCTTCCCGTTCTTCTTTAGTACGAATAGTACGGGGTATCCTGCGGGTGATTTCGAAGGTCTGATGAATCCTTTCGCAAGATTTTCGTCAAGCTATTCGTCTAAGGCTTTCATTTCTTCTTGGTTGAGTAGGTATATTTTGTTAAAGGTGGGTTCGTATCCTTCCTTAATTTCGATCTTGTGATCCCACTTGCTGTGTTCCGGTAATCCGGTCTCGAGTTCTGGTGCAAAGAGTTTGCTGTAGACCCTGTATTCAACAGGTATCTTTGACATTGGATCTTCCGTGACTTTGTCAATCGTCGTGGCTGCTAGCGTCCTAGTGCCAATGTCTTTTATCCTTAGCATCAGGCGTGGTCTTGCTCTGGTTGCTGCTAGTAATCCGCATGAGGCCTTCGTCGAGTGCTTCTCAGAGGCTGGATTGAATTTTATTCGGCCAGTAACCCAATCGATTTATAGGTTATGTCTTCGTAGCCATGGAATTCCGAGGATAACGTCGTGGTTTCCTATCTCCGTGATGTCGAGGCTGATAAGCTCCTGATGGCTATAGTAGAGCAAAGGGAGTTGCGCTGTCTCCTGATCAATGCTGCCTCCGCTATACTCGACTTCTTTCCCTTCTACATTCCTTAGTCGGTAAGGGTTTTGCTTCTGATTCCATGGTATTTCTCGCTGTTGCACTATTCGGGGTGCGATAAAGTTTCCTTAGGCTCCTGAGTCTATCAGGACCTGTATGGTATATCCGCCCAGGTTTACTGTGATCTTCATTTGTACGTCGTCGTCGAATGTAGCATATAGGGACTTGCTGGGGGAGCTCGCCATGTGTCCCGGACAAGGCGGCTCTCCTAGTTTTTTGAGTAGAGGGCCTTCTCGCCCTTCTTTCGGTCTCTGCCGAGGTTACTTTCTCTGATTCCTAGACGAGGTAGGCTGGGCGTCTCGCCGTCCTGTCCTTGCTTGTCTAGTTCTTGTTGTCGGAATCTCCAACTTTCGCTTTTTAGAATATAGTAGAGT